AATCAAGGCGACGGTTGAGACGTCGGCGCAAACCTCCACCGCCGCTATCCCCACCTCCCCCCGAGGCGGAGACACGCTGGGTCGAAGGCTTCTGAGCCTTGTCTACCCAAAACGCAGTGCCGTCATTGCCATCAATAAATGGAAAGAAGAAGGCAACACGGCACGCAAATACGAGCTCAATCGTATCGTTCGTGAGCTCCGTAAGCTCAAGCGATACAAACACGCTCTCGAGGTTGGTTTTAGTCATTTCTCTTCAGTTTGTTTTCTACATGTCCACCGTTATAATTCCCGGGTCAGCTCTCTAATGCTTGGATCAGAGTTACGTTCTACTCGCTATTCTGGTGTGCACAGTGTTTAAAACAGGTATTCATTATGATGGAGTCCGTTATGTAGGGGAATTTACGACCTGCGTTAGTTTCTGCGCAATTTGATTCTAATATCCTGCCTCGCTAACGTGATTAGAATTCTTAACTTCACATGAATTTTTAAGATATACTCCTCTGGTCCTAAGTATAAGACCCTTATACCAGCTTAAATATAAGGTCCTTACACCACACTGGTATAAGTATGAGGGTTGTATTTAGGACCGGAGGAATAATTGTTGGCGTTCGTTCGCAAGAATGGACAGAACTTGTGAGAAGGGGTCAGCATTAAGTTCATCATTCGCATACCTTTGAAACTCGGCTTGTGAAAATGATTAGTGGGAATTCTCAAGTTTTCCCCTCTTGTAATTAGGGCATGGAAAATTACGCAGAAAGAAACTCATGCATATCAAGGTTTTTAGCTGTTTGTAATGCATGCCAGGAGTTTCATATTTGGGATTTTTATTCGCACCAGCTAGTTGTGCCTATCTCTCTTTGAAAGTTTAAGGAAGAGATGAGATAGATTTTGTTGAAACAATTTTATAATTATTTCTGATATGCATGTGTTTTATGAAATTAAATGGTGGGATAACTGGCAATCTCTTCACTGGCAGCCTATCTGTATAGCTTGACCATAATTCTGCATTTTTCAAATGCAGATCTGTGAGTGGATGACCTTACAGCCAGACATTAAGCTACTGCCTGGGGACTATGCCGTCCACTTGGACTTGATAGCAAAAGTTCGTGGTTTAAGCAGTGCTGAAAAATTCTTTGAAGATCTTCCTGATCGGATCAGAGGTCAACCAACCTGTTCTGCTCTCCTTCATGTCTATGTCCAAAACGATATGACTGATAAAGCTGAAGCTCTCATGTTGAAAATGTCAGAATGTGGTCTCTTGAAAAATCCTCTTCCTTATAACCATATGCTGTCTCTCTACATGTCGAATGGGAAATTTGAAAAGTTTCATGAAACCATTCAGGAGCTAAAGAAGAACATATCACCGGATGTTGTAACTTTTAATTTGTGGTTAACTGTTTGTGCTTCACAGGAAGATGTTGAAGCTGCTGAAGGAGTTTTCCTTGAGCTCAAGAAGGCAAAATTAGATCCAGACTGGGTTACATATAGCACATTAACCAATTTATACATTAAAAATGCGCTGCCTGAAAAAGCAGCATCTACTTTGAGAGAGATGGAGGGCAGAATCTCAAGGAAAACTCGAGTTGCATATCCTTCACTCCTTAGCTTGCACACAAACATGGGAAATAAGGATGAAGTTCTTCGTATATGGAAGAATATGAAATCATGCTTTCGCAAAATGAATGATGCTGAGTACACTTGTATGATATCATCACTTGTGAGGCTTAGTGAATTTACAGAAGCCGAGAACCTTTATCAGGAATGGGAGTCAGTTAGTGGGACCAAGGATGTCAGAATTTCAAATATACTTCTTGCTTCATACATTAACCGAGACCAGATGGAAAAGGCTGACAAGTTCTTCAATCAGTTTGTGCAAAAAGGCATAGATCCTTGCTACACTACATGGGAGCTATTTACTTGGGGGTATTTGAAAAAGAATGATGCAGAAAAAGTACTGGATAATTTCAAGAAAGCCATTACTAGTGTGAAAAAATGGAGTCCTGATAAAAGTTTAGTGAGGAAGATTTTCAAGATGCTAGAGGAGGAGGCCCATGTTGAAGGGGCAGAGCAATTGTTGGTGGCCCTCCGAGATGTTGGCCACGTGAATACTGAGATATATAATCTGCTTCTCAAAACCTATGTTAAAGCTGGTAAAATGCCTCTCATTGTTGCTGAAAGGATGAAGAAGGACAATGTTCCGTTGGATGAAGAGACTCACAGGCTCTTAGATCTAACCAGTAAAATGTGTATAAGTGATGTTTCAAGCATTTTGTCATAAGTGCAGCATAAGTGTGCCCTAAGGTGCAGTTTTGTACTCGAAACTCTTGGGCTAGATTTTATTCATGGATACTTCCTCCCCTGTTTGAATTAAATCTGATTGCAAGGCAGGACGGTCATGTATTAATTTCGTCAGACAATCCAACAATGTTGAATTTGGAATAAGGAACTGAACCTTGCTTGAGGAGGTACAAGCAGAAAAATTTCCCTGGTTCAGTAGTCGATAGCCTGGGATGGTGCAGGGCATTGCCCTTTACTGTTTCCTGATTATGTACTGAATGGATCTGTTCCTTATTCATAATAGACGGCTATGCGAAACCCATACAAAAAGAAAGGGTACTGGACTCTGTCAAAATCCGCTAGTCTCTCCTCTAAACTGAAGGAAGTTCAATAAAGCATAAAATATTTTATACAATTGATCTTTTTATTAAAAAAACTAGCTGGTGCTATCCCGTGCAAAATGAGGTCCTCACCCAAAATAATCTTCTTTCCATATTTGCCAACACACATGCACCGAAACTATTCCAATGCATTCTATCCACTCGTGCGTTTTTAGATGATGCTGCACTGGTAGAGAAAGGGGGCAAAGACAAGATGGTAAATCGGTAAATTTGAAATGCTATATGAGGAAGGAAGAAAGAAAGAAAGGTTTCGTGATATGGTAGAACAGTAGTATCTAAACAGTGTACTTCGTACCTTGGGTTTACGTTAAAATCTTTTAATGCATGCACCTACATATCTCATAGCAAACGAAACTGGTTATTTTCAGGGTTGGTACAAATTTTAATTCTTCAAATTTGTTCTTATTTTGGTTTTAGTCCTTCAAGTTTCAAACTATAGGTTTAGGTCCCTCAAATTTCTTTTTATTTAAAATATTAGTCTTTATAATTCAATAAAAATTGGGGTCATTTTGCCCTTTGAAGGACTAAAAATTATATTTTGAAATTTGAAGGACCAAAATTAAAATTAGAAAAAATTTAAGAGATTAAAGATTATATTAATTTTTATTTTCATTTGAATGAATTAGTATACATTTTTAATGATGTTAATATATTAATATTATTTTCATTCACATGAATTAGTATGTTATAAAGGTTTTTTTTTTCTCACATGGGTTGCACGGAGAGCTTCTGCAACTAAGATGTCAATATTCAATTACAAACTTTAAAAATATATTTATATAGATCACAATCTATTTTCATTTACATGATTACAAGCTTAACATCAAGATCTTAAGCAGATTTAACATATCAATTGATGCATTCATTGGCTTTCTTATATGCATAATTCAAAACAAGATTCCGATCTGTTTCTGCTGTAGTTGTCAATGAAGCTCTTCATCAAGATTAGTGGTATTCTTTTCAAGGATATGATCCTTCTGTGTATACTCCCATTTCCCCTTTCCCCAAAAACAAAAAAAAGTTTAACTTAGCGTCAATTGTCACAATTGGATCATGAGATTATGCGCACGCATTGTTATCAAATCTTCAACTCCTCCAAATTGACCTAAACCAGAACCGGGTTTAAAAATTCGAAATAATCAGAAAAGCTGGTTTTACCTACTTTCTTTTTTGGGTGGTCAAAAGCCAACTTTATGCTTAGAGTAGTGTTATATGCGTACTATGATTTGATGCAGGTGGGCTCTTAAATTTAATTTCCATCCATTATTGAAGACATGCCTTGCTAATACTTTGCTTGGGGGTTTGTTTGACATGGTTTATTTTCAAAGATGTTGGGAGGATTTGGTGCGGTGGTTAAGAAAAATCGCTAATTGCCTGGAGCTGCCATATACGTACAAAAGGCTTAGATAACATCTGCTCCTTGTAGATCACCAAAATAACATATTTGAGAACCAGAAATACACTTGACCAAACACAAGCATGAGGTCATGGGAGGTTATGGAGCAAGCAGATGAGCGTTGCGCGAAGAATAACTGCAACAACCACACTGGTAGGGGTTTACCGAACCCAACCCTCATCCGCAACCAGCCAGCCACGAAGGTTTTCATTCATCTAATTTACACAAATGTCCTTATCTATCATCACAAAACTTACTCCTGTTTCTTGAAATTTGCATGGCCCGTTAGTTAGGATGCTGTTTTTTGAAATCCCCAAAAGGAAAATTGATTAAACCTGAGAACTACAAATTTGTCGTCTTGAACGAGCAAAATTTTGCCCAATACAGACACATGATCGTCATTTAAAAGCACCTTTTTGGAAATTTAGCTTTCCAACCTCCATGGATTTTGAAAACTAAAAGTTAAAAACAAGGGCTAGGTCGGGGACAAATTAGTTGGGTAAGCCTGTAGCAAAATCAGAAACGTTACGAAAAATAAAGTGATCAGTGATGGTGAGTAGGGATTACGTTGCGGGTTGTATGCGTAATTTGAGTCCGTAATCAGGGTTAAATATGTCAAAGAACCTCGCATGTTCTCATGATTCATGTGCTCGGCAACGTTAGTAATCCCACGCGCAACGACGTGCAACGTTGTCGTTCGGTGTGACCCCAGTGGCCGGGCCAGGCTTAGAATACAGACATGCGGCGTTCACGCGCTTGAGTGGGAGCGTGAGCATCGTTGGTTACAGATGGTCCCCCAAAATGCCGTTTGAATCTATTTTGTTTTCTTCCCTCGCATTTGATTTAATATTTTTAGTTAAGTGGCAGGTCAGAAGCTGGACCTTAAAAAGCCAACCAACTAGTTACCCCTCCCATTACAGACAGAACAGAGCAACTAAAACGTCGTCGACAAATAAAGACAACTTCTCTTCTCCTTCCTTAATTCTTCTTCCTCCATGGCTTCTTCTGTCCATGAAGATGAATTTGGCTTTGGATTTGATGAAGGCATGCTACGCTGCTTGCCCTCTAATGTTGTCCACGAGGCATGCCTCCATAAGGTCTTTTCCTCTTCCTTGCATATAACTAACTGTAACTGCTGCAGTATTCTGGCTTCCCTGTCTAAGTCCTTCTTCATTAATAAACAATGTTCGGTAATTTAAGGTTGGAGATATGTTCCTGTTATTGGATTCATATGTTGTTTAGCTTGGTTTCAGGTTCACATGAGGCGCTCCCACCAGAATCATCATCAACTCCGTCACCACAAATCTTCAGTAGAACCACAGGTACCTCCCCTTTCTATAATTGAGAATGAAGAATTCGAGCTTGCCAGTGATCCATGAAATCTATATCTATATATATATATATATATATATATATATGTCTGTGTGTGTGTGTGTATGAACTATTACTTTTTGTATATCGCCTTCTAAACAATGAACAGCTTGAAATACAACGCAAGCCTTCTTACTTCCTCCAATTTCTTCTGCTGCGTTTAAAACAACAAGAGAGAGACAGAAAAGCTTGTTTTTTGTAGGGTGCTGTACATGAAGTTTGGCCGGTAAAATGTGAGTGTGATTAGTTAGGTTTAGGCATTGACAAGATGTATTGCTTACATTGCACAAAAGTCTAAAGTTAGTCGCATTATTTATGGCATGATATACTGATGATTATCAGCATAAATATGATGAGGACATGAAAGTGTCAACTTATATTCCGGTGGCGATTATAGGGTTCTCAGTTGCAACTACAATAAAAACGCATATATTTCAGTATGTGTTATTGGCTAACAAACATAATATGCCTTTGCATTTAGGTTCTTATTCCTTCTTACCCAATCAATCCCTCTTTAAACCAAAAAGCGCCTTCAAGTTGTGCTCCACTATTGCCTTTTAAGTTATCAATTTGTTAGTATTAGTAACACAGTGACAGAGCTTTGGTTCAATGACTTGAGAACAAATGTAAGCCACCACCATCGATCGCCTTTTTAATTTCCAACTTAGTAAAGTAGAGATAATGTGCCAAAATCCTGAAACTGAAACTTGCTCTAATCTGATTGGTCTCATTCTCTTCTTTTCCCTTATCTGTTTGGAATAACAGTTTAGGTATGAAAGGTGCAGTACAACAAAGCTTAACTCTAAACAATTATACATATACAAGTCTCAGTGGCCAACAGAAAAGAAAATTAAAACATATCCTCATTATGGTGCTCTGTGCCACGTTCATTATGAAGATCTTCCTGTAATATATTATTTTGTTTCCAATGTCCAGCGTTAAACATAACAAAACATTTCTCAATTAGTTTTCTTTCACGCAGTACTCAAGATCATCACATCAAAGGCCGAAACTAGCCAATGGCGGATTTGGAATGCAAGCAATTTTCCTGGAATCTGGGCAGAAATCGTGTGGAACAGGTGTATTCTTACCCCAAACAGCAGGCACAAACTTCCAAACTGGCAAGAAGAAGCCAGGTTAGATATAACTTGGGTTTTTTAATGTCGAGATTTTTAGGGAAGAGACTTATACATATGAACTGTTAATTCTGCAGATTCTGATACACTATAATTCTATAATTTGCAGGCTGTGCTCCTGTGCTACTCCCAAACCGAGTGATTCGAGCTCTAAATCTCAACGTGCACACCTTAGGCTTGCAAATTTCACCCCGCCAAGGTCCCTTAATTAAATATTTTCCTTGTACTTCATTAATTTGAGAACACAGTACTATCTCCCGTCCTAATTATAAGACTTTGTTTAATTAGAATCGGATGTAATAATAATGAAGTCAACTGTTCACCCCATCATTAGAAATAACTAGTAGTATAATATAATTCAACGTGATGTCATTGCAGACCCAAAATATGAGGCCAGATGTGGAGAAGATTTCAATAAATCAGGCAAGAAGAAATATGACCAGAAAAATATGTCAAAGCAAGACGATGGCGTTGATCAAAGTCACTGCCCAGCAAGGATTTTTCTTCCAAAGGAATGGACTTATTAAGAAGCTATCTATCATCTGCATAATATCATCACAGGGGAGCCCATCTGCAATAAATCTAAGCGTCGCATATAATTTCGATAGTGTGTGCTGCTTTCTGTGTTTCATTCTTTAACAATGTTTTTTTCCCTCTCCAATATAATAATTAACAGCACATAGTTTTTTTTTTTCTTTTTAGAGTATTGTAGTTTCTATACACAATCAGTGTATTAATTAAGGGTGTACCATTGTTGTTACGCTATTATTATGCGATACTTATTAGTGAAAATTAGCCAATGAATTATATAAGCGTACCGATTTTTAATGCTGTTTTTTTGTTTTTTCCTTGATGAAATATATGCGACATCAATAAATCAAAACAATTTAGCTGGCTTATATATTGAATTCATGAATGCCTTTAGAAAATTTAAATCACAACACTGCTGCCGGTATTGTTGACAAAGCCATGTTAACAAACTTTCCTAATATTAAAAAATTAATCAAATATAAAATTTTTAAAATTATTCTAAATCAAACAAAAACCATTATTTATGTTAAGAATTGATGCGTGTAGTCTTCTGAATAGGACAAGAAGGAATATTCTCTCTATTGCTTACTGTGAGTAAACTTTTTTTTTGGGGAAAAATCCTTACAATTAGCGTCGGTGTGGTGTGCATAGCCTGAAAAATAAAAAAAAATTAATATAATTTCTGATCTCAAAATTTTTTTTATTTTAATTTTAGTTCTTTAAGTTTTAAACGTCCCTCAAAGAACCAAAATCTATAGTTAAAATTTGAGGAGAAAAGTTTGTATTAACCAAAAATAAAATCATATTATTTAATCTTTAGATTTTAATGAAAATATGTATATTGCATTTATTACAATTTAATTTCACCAATAAAAATTTTAGCAAACAATCTCATTTCCCAAACAGTGCCCTCCCATGGCACCCGTCTCACGCCAACCACTCAGGCGTTGCCACGCACTCATTTGGCACGAGCGGCGGGTAATTATCCAGTAATATTAGCCGGGCAGTGAGTGAAATTACAGCGGGCAAAGTGGAGGATTTGGCGAATCGGATGAGCACCTGCTAGCCTTGAAGGGGAAGCGGAGCACTGGCCCGCGGTGCTCTCGCCACTTCCGGCCGTCACTCATCGTGAATTCGAAGCCCAGTCATGGAAGCTACTTGGTTCAGCTCTCACGTCTTCCGTCCCCATAGCTCTGGAACTAAACCTAAGTTACTTAGAGGTTAGTTTCAGAGTGTTTTATTACCTAGAAAACTTAGGAAGCAAATAAGCTATTTGAAAAGGTAATTCGAGTCTTTTGGCTTGAAGCTTGTGAGAGATTTTTATTCTCACTGATAGTGCGACTTGATTCCGCATGATAAGACTTACGATATTTTCTATCCTATTTTAACTGTATTCACCTAGAATGAATAGGCTGGTCAATAATCGCATTTATTCTTATCATCACGCTCATATGTCGCCTATCATATGCTGTTGAAGTTCGTAGTATAACAAGTATTTGTCAGCGGCACGTGTATTTTCATTATTTGCTTTACGTCGTGGCTTTAAGTGTCCAGAGTCACGAATTATTTGTCTGAATCAAAAATGTTATTTCAGTAAATATATTGCTGTGAATGCTGGGAACATACTAAATCATTGTAACCTCTCTTTGATTTGAGAAGGAATGTGCCTTACAAGCTTAATAATTAGTACCGCAGTCTACTCAGAATATTTAAAAGTAGTGAGGATTGTATAGGCTTGTTCTACGGAGAAATGTGCATGATCAATTATGAGTTAACATGCTCTACATTGCAAGCTGTTTGTTACCGCAGGTAGCCAAGCAGAACAAATCCAATTTTACTGTATAAAGAGCCATAAAACTGGGGTTTCTGCATTTGAAAGAAGGCAATCCCTATTTTTGAACGGGTCCTTGTTTGATAGAATAAATCGGAAGCATTATGTTAACTTCTCTGATAAGCGTCGAAGTGAATATTTGCATGTGGAACCCCCAAATATCCAGCATTCAAGTCAGGAAGTTGTTCCACCAACTCAAAGTGATGGAGCAGAGTTTCTTGTGTCTCCTGATCCCAGTAACTCCAGAAACCTAAACTTGAGATCCAAAAAGTATAAAAATAGGTTTCTTGATTTTGTTCGCTTGAGTTCTGTCCTGAATGGAATTGCTGAATCATTTTTCAAAAGTGAGATACGGAGGAGGTTATTTGTGACTGCTGTACTAATTGTACTCAGTCGTGTTGGTTATTTTGTTCCTCTACCTGGATTTGATAGGAGGTTGATACCACAAGACTACCTGAGCTTTGTCTCAGGATCTGTTGGTAAGTTATTCAGATATCACTCAGCTTCACTCATGTATATATTGCTTCTGATACAGCCTTAACGAAAAATTATTCCATTTGGTGCTCATCAGTCATCTATCAGCAGTTAAAGGGTGTTCATTTCCCAACTATTGGTAACCGAAGAATTACAACTGAAAATGAAAGCTTAGGACAAAAAATTAAACATGTTTGAGGTGAATGCCATGCTCGAGGCAACTTATGAAGTAAAACGGAAAACCTGTTCCAATTTGATGTGCTATTAGAAAGAGCATCTTAGATTCATTATAGGTGGTTTATAAGATTATCCCTGTGAGCAATCATTCATGTAGCTTCTGGCAGATGAACTTGGTGACTACACCTCTGAGCTCAAACTTTCTCTTTTCCAGCTTGGAATCAGCCCTCAGATTATAGCATCCATTATTATGCAGGTTTACCTTCTTTACTGTTTGAGTTAGAGACCGACATTTGTGGCAAATTTTTTACTTTCTGTTATTTTGGAGGCCAATTGATGTTTTATTCTATTTTCTTGCATGCAATTTTAGATTCTGATATTCTTGCAATATCACTGAATTATAAGTGAAATCATCGTATATAAGCATCTCTGAAGAATATTTCTTTCTTCAATTATTATTTTTATCTTGAATCATGCATCATTGTGAAGAGAGCCAGGGTTCTCAATCAAATGTCAATTTTAGTGCACTAGATTTATACCAGGTGTGATATGATGTGCAGGTTCTCTGTCATGTGGTTCCTTCTCTAGTGAAACTGCGAAAGGAAGGTCTAGATGGACATGAGAAGATAAAGAGTTATATGTGTGTCCACTTATCCATTTTAGCAGTGAGCTTAACACTTGCTGTCCGTTTCAGAAATCTTATATACGGTCCTTGATTTTGGGATTATCAACTAATGAATCCTTATACAAATTACAGATGGTGGATGTCACTTGGCTTTGCGATTTTGGAAGCTCTAATACTTGCCTGCTACTCACTTCCATATTCAATTTATGCTGCCAGTCAAAGGTACTTTGATCCATAGGATCCATTTCAAGAATAATTCTACTCACTATGAAAAACTGATGTATCAAAAATTTTCCTGCTCACTAATTGATATCATAATAGTAAATGGATCATATGCTGTATGATGCCATCCTTATCAAAGGTCATTTAATAGTCTTATCCATTTGTAGAGATTGTGGTCTCTTGGCCTTCATTACATTATGAAATGGATCTTTAGTTTTAACTATATTGTGCAGCCTATAAACTTGTTTATTTGTACCAACGGTGTAACCTTTCTGACTCCAAATAGTCCCTGTCCGTTTAAAGATATTTGATTTTTTTACAATTTCTTATCTTGAAGGGTCAAGCATGTGATGGTGACAACTCTTTTGTTGGTGTGCGGTGCAATGACTATTACATGGATATGTGATACCATCTCAGAATCCGGCTTTGGTACTCTTATTGATTCTTTAAACAAAATATGTTGCTACATCATCCATGATTAGAGTTGTGGAAAAGTTTCGAAATGTAAAATTTCTGTACAATTATGCTTGTGCGCAAGTGACGTTTGTCCTAGTTGAATATTTACCGCATAACTTCCTTAAAAAGGATTATCTTGTTAATGCAAGTTTGTTTGATAGAAAATATGTTTGCAAGTTCATTTGCTCATGCAAGAAACTCTCTGAATCAGAGTGCCGTAGATTATTCTTATTGGTATTTATTTTGACCTGCCAGCAATTGCTATTAGATATTTTCATATTATTCAAAAGGTACTTATTTTCTATAGTACATGAGCATATAATCAGTCTTTTGGTTGAATTTGTGTTTTACCCAGCTGATAGTTTTATGTGTATGCATATTGATTAAATCGGGAATTATTTGAATCTTTGTGTTTGTGTTTGACTAGGTCAGAAAGTATTTCTTCTACATCTCAATATCAATTTTTTTTAACTGTCTAGTTACCTGCCCATTGGGCTGGATTCCCCCCTTCATTGCTACACCCCAAAAAAAAAGGGGGGGGGGGGTTCTGAGTTTTTATACCTGGGTGATTTTTGAGACGAACCATACAACGCGTGTTTGCTTTTACCGTTTGATTTACTCTATTGTGATTGTTGATGCCTTCTTCAGGTCAAGGTTCATCACTTATTATATGTGTGGGGATATTGACGGGTTATATGGAGACGTTACACAAAATGCTGACTCAGCTCTCAGGTACTTGACAGGACACAAAAAAGCTTCTGAAAATTAATGCAATATCCCCCTCATCCACTTCTGCTCCTCAAGCTTAAGTTTTAACAAGTTGGAATAACAACATTTTTGGTCACATGGATCCTAACTGCAGTCTCATAGTTAATAAATTTGACATTTTTAGACTTCATTTGACATGTATGCCCATTGAATGTTTTCATGATGACAATAGGATATCTCTCATAAAGGTATACATATGCACGCGCGTGCACATAGAGAAGGGACATGAAAGGAGAGGATATGATCATTTAAGGAAATTTCACATTATTAACTAAATTGACGGGCTTACCAATCTAAGAGGGCAATTTTGTTATGAAATCTGGTCAAGACTGAAATTTGGTTTGGGTAGTTGTGGGGAAAGTAAAAAACCATATATTCTTAACCATACCTTTTGATATTGCAGTGAGTACTGTTAGCTGGTGGCCCTATGTACTTGCAGTGTTGGGTCTATTTACAATTGTCACTATGTGGGCAGTTGTAGTCACTGAAGGTTGCAGGAAAGTGAAACTTCAATATTATGGCTTCAAACTTGCTTCTGCTGCAAGGTAATGGCATTGTTTAGTACAGGCAATGGAACCTTATTAACCTTGGTGAAAGTCTAGGTGTTATTACTAGAGTACTAATGTTCATTCTATTGTAAGAAGTTTTATTTCACTGTTTTTATGGTGATGGCTGTCCCATACATCTTCCAGAGTAAACGGGATAATCTAATGTCGTTTGCTCACATTCTGTACTTCCATTGATTTGCGCATTGACTGACTGTTGGACATATCTTAAATAATCCTTAATTATTATGCCAGACGATTTTCATGTCTTTGAAGCTCAAAATGATCATTTTTAGCTCAATGATATTGATGAAGTCATGTAGACCGCTGACATTTTTATTGTCTTGAGATTTGAAACAGAGAGCAATCCCCAATTACTGAAGTGGAGCCCTATATTCCTTTCAACATCAATCCGTCAGGAATGCAACCTGTTCTTACCACCAGTTACCTCTTGGCATTTCCAAGTATTCTTGCAAGGTTTGTATAATCTATAATATAGTTTGATTAAACATAATCTGAGTATATCAAGTTTTCATCAATGGGCAATCTTCTGATAAAGTAGTAAAGATTCTTGATTCCTTATGCTTGTGGTATCAACTCCTCACATCCCACCCAATACCCCTGCCCCCATCCCCCCCCCAAAAAAAAAGAGATTATTCACGCATGCCAGGTGAAACAGATTTTCTGTTGTTTGTCACATCAGCTCCATGAACAGTTTTTTTTTTAAAAAAAAAATAAAATAAAACTGTTTTCTTGCGGAGGATTCAATGTTGTGATTTCTACAGTAACTTCTAATTCTAATGTGCAGTTTGCTTGGTTCACGTTTCTGGGAGCATGTCAAGGACATATTGAACCCTGATACATCTGCTGGTGCTGAGCCTTGGGTTTACTACTCCATCTATGCCTTTTTTGTCTTCTTGTTCAATATATTTGATATTGTAAGTTTCGCTCTGCTACTATTGTTTGCTAAGATGACCTTTTTTTCCCCACCCCCCCACCCCCGGACCCATAAGTGTTGGGTAAGAAAATTAAATACAAACTCGTTGTTATACATTTCATATTTACAAGTCAAATTGCTACTGCGCCACTGCCATATTAAGAGTTTGTTTGTTCTGTTTTGCTATTGCTTATATATGATGTTAATTGTTTCCAGGCCAACTTGCCCAAGGAAATTGCTGATTACCTGAATAAGATGGGTGCCAGGATACCTAACATAAAGCCTGGGAAGGCTACAATAGAATACCTTTCGAAAGTTCAGGCATCCACACGATTCTGGGGTCTGTTTTCGGTGATTGACTGTTTTTAATCTTTTGTCAACATCAATCCCAATTATTGATATCGTTCTTTTTAAAATACTGTATTGTATCATTGCCTGTTGAACTTTGCAGGGGGGCTGCTGTTAAGTGTACTGGCGACTACATCAAGTATTCTTGATCATTATTTACGGCGCACTAATGCTGGATTTGCAATTGGGTTTACATCAGTCTTGATTATTGTAAGTGCAATATCCTCACAATTTATGACAAGGAATTCACTTGAGCATTTTTAATTCAAGTTTGAAATGCTTTGTGCAATATGAACTTATGAACATTAAATAGACCTGATATATTTAGTCATTTCCATCGATTACTGGTGGTATTAGTTCAACTCTTAGTGAAAAATGTGGAGCTAGCTTCAAGTGTTATTTTTTATGGGAAAATGTTCTAGAATTTTCATCAACTTAAATGCTTTAGAAATTTCCTAAATTTGTTCTGCAGTCACTGAGTAGCCCTTGATTTATTTTGTCCAGGTTGGTTCCATTATTGAGCTTAGAAGATCGTATCAAGCGTATAATGTAATGCCAAGTTTAAGCAAGGCCCTGAGACGGTATGGCGTATAGCTTCTGGAAATGCCTTGCTGCTCTACTCTTCCTTGCTATCCAAACCTGGAGGGCAACGATTTAGTCACCATTAGTAAGTAGCAGCAAGATGGCCCTTCGCCCCTCTGGTACACAATTTCCCTGTAGAGAGATATTGCGAGGGCGTCAGTCTAGTTTTGGGGTGATGATGTCATCTACCAGTGTTTGCTGCCTGTTTGTAATAGCGAGAAGCCTCTGTGTAAATCTTAGGGGAAAGAAATTGTCTTACTGTATCCAAGAAATTTTGGTTAGCTTATTGCTATAGATAGCTTAGTATCTGTTAAGGAAATTCACATTTGTTATAGCTGTGAGATGTAATTCTAGAAGTGAGATGCGGGGATATGCAAGGTTACGAAGAGCATAGCAATGGCGTGAAGAGAATTCCATCTTCGGTTTAGCCCGTACTTCACACAAAATGGATCTAGTATACTTTGCTTTTTTGCAATTTTTTTGTTCATTTTTTGTTTGTTAATTAACCAGGAGATATAGATCGTTGGTAAATATATATGTAGTGTGTTTGGCGGGGAGTAGAGTCCCGAGTATCAAACCAATAATGAAGTAATGAACTACAAGTTTGTAACCGTCTTGAACTATCAGCTTTTAATATAATATTTAGTTGACTAATTTAAATAAATTAAAAAAATTAATTAAATTAGTTATGTGTGATAAATAAATTTTTTTAAAAAATATCTGTACTAATTAAATGTATCAGTTAAAACTATCATTATTATAACAATTACTTTTAAAAAAATAGATAAATATGAGAGATAAAGTGAATTTGAATTTTATATTTAAAATTAAAATAAAAATCAAACGAATTTTTATATTAAGGATTAGAGGTAGTAGTTTTTATGTACATAATAATACTTTTTTTAACCGTATATATAAAATCTCAATCTTCTTTTTATACAGATAAAAATCCCAATCTAATTTATTCTTTAAATTTTTAATTTTTTTTTCAAATTATCAATTACACATATTAAAGAATGATTTCATCAATATAAATGATATTCAATGTAAATGATTGAGGAAATATTTTGGAAAAAATGCATTTTTTGTAGATAACTGATTTAACTAATTTCTTTATAAATCAATTATTAAGCTGTTATATTTAGAAATGAATAAAATATAATTTATTTCTAATTTTATGCAAAGAACGGATCAACCAAACACACATTTGAAGGTTTAAAAGAGGTTTGAGTTAGTTATGACGAACTTAGGCCATGTAAATTATCTGGCCCAATGGGCTTGTAGCCGAGCCGATTGATCTTGTACAAGGGTAGTTTGGTCTCCTTGCTCGCTCCAATTCAATTTGAAATGAGCAGGCACTCGGGCATCAGAATTCTCTTTTGCGATCTTGAAGAATGGAAGCGAGTGGGGCGTCACGGTGCTCGGAAGTCAATCACGCAGAGACCTGTACAACAGAGGACGCTTTGGATGGCCCTGTCATTTTTCATACCATCTATGATGTCATAGGTTTGTGCTTTACATGCACCAGCAGATTCCCTCGTAAGTTCTTTCCCTCCGTTTGAGTTGTGCGAGAATGAAGGAATTGAATTGAGAGAATAATTGCAATAATAACTTGCTTTTGGGCGGAAGGTTCTGTATTCACAGTTGTATACTTGAATTGGGATACTGTCTAATGAGCTCATTTTCTTTCATCCAGCACAGTGCAAGATATGAGTATTGAATTCGATACAATGCATTCTGAGTACAATCAGTTGGTATGTAATGAATAGAAATATCTTTAAGCCACTGTATCAAGGAATTATACCCTGAAACTGTCACTTTCAGGTGTCAGTACTTGCAGAAACTGAAGTAAAGGCATCACAACGGAGATATCGTATTAGCAAGATGAGGGATATCAAACTTGGGATCAGAAGACTAGAGAAGTTGATGAATGCGCTCTCGAATATGAAAACTGCGATTCAGCTGATTGTCAAAGAGATTCCCAACATAGAGGAAATTATTTTGGCTCTTGGAGCTAGCCCACAACGTCCTCAGTACATTTATGGCTTAAGCTTTTCCCATGGAACAGCTGGTCCCTCGGGTGCAAATAATTTTGCTAGGAGTAAAGCAGCTGACGGACTTTCAAGAAAGGTTCTTTGGTGACATTTCTGCATTCGGATTAAATTTCAACATGTTTTGTCAGCGAAGGGGGAGTGGGAGGTCATATTACATATTTTGTTTTACAGGCTATACGAACACTGATATCAAAGGGAGCTGGGTCTGTGACCTATCCAGGTAGTTGATTACTTTGCTCGTTGGTAAATGCTGATCCGAAAATGGATCTGCTTCTGGTTGTCTTTTCATTTATTTGTTTTTACTTTACCGTTATTATAGCAAATGATCATAATGTGTGCAGGTTCGAGTAAGCTGTATCTGTTAATTAAGGCCCCGTCTTCATTCAATCAGCCCCAGCATTTTCTGCCAAAACGTGATTTTAGGTATAACAGAAAGGTAAAATAGGCGATAAAAATGACTTACTTTTTATTTTTTGGCACAGGGCATCATGTAGCCTTTGGACATCTTTAACGTTTGTGATTCTTATGGTTTATTAATTTGGTAAAGATAACTGCATCCACTGATGCTTTTATGTTTGATGGTATCAATGTTCAAATTTGGTATCTAATAATGTTCTGATGTTTAGTGCATCATCCCTGAACTTACATTACTAACAAACGATAGTAATCACTTTTTCACTATTATGACTGCCTGAAAGTAATTCAACTACAGAGCGGTGCTATTTGGCTTTAGCCCCCTTTTTTGGTCAGCGGTGCGAGGAACAGAAATGTTTTTCCACTCTCAAAATGAGACTCTAATTCAAGACGTTTTTGTATAATCAATTTTTCTTTCAGTCTTCTGCAGGACATACGTTTAATATTCTTTTCGCTTTCTCTGGACAGAAAACATGAATGCTGTGTCAAGCAAATAACTTTTTCATCTGATTGCATGCTTGCAATTTCCTTACATTGACATAGAATGTTATGCATTATAGGCTTCAGGTTACTGTTCCGTTTTATATACCTAAAATTATGAACTGAATTGCATATTCGCTGCAGATTGTGCCATTCAGATTATTGTTTAAGTGCCGGAATCAGTGTCAAGAAGAGGCTGCTCCTCCATCAGAAGATTTAATCTGGTATCTGTCTCGTGTTGTGGGTTTATATAGTCCTGATATTCACCTTTTGTTTTTAATGCTAGATGTGTTTATTATTCTTGACCTTGTGAGCAAACAGTATTGTTTATGTTGTTTGCATGAATAGCCTTTTTCTGTTATAAAAATTTCCCTCCCTTTCTTTTCTCTAGCCTAGAGTCCTATTTTTCTTACTCTCTAGAATGAAAAGATGATAGAACAACAAACAAGGAAAAGAAAGCTAATTAGGAGGTCCAAAACCTCCTTGAAACAAATGTTACTGCTTTGAGATCATACTTGTTTCTGATCACATGTGGAATGTAATAGTCATTTATGCAGAAGCATTGCCGGTGATCGGTTGAAAAATTATTTCCCAATCTCCATGTATAGCATTGCACTTCACTCAGTCTTCTAAATGCTTTCTCTTCATCATCTCTAGTTGTGTTCCTGGGACTTTTTGCCTCAACTTCATCATGCTCACTTTTAAGTGACTTTCTTTACCCCCTCACATCTCAGGTTTCAATGTCGGCACGTTATAAAGGGCCTGGCCATGAACACAACGCCAGAAGAATGAAGGGCCCCTTTGGTTGCTAGAGTCAGGACTTTAAGAATGGGAATATGCCCAGAACAACACCCGTAGTTATCACTGCAGCTTCTTAAAAGGATGAGGCCACGTGCCCTGACCTTTGAATCATAATCATACTAAAGCGATGATGATTAGGTGGCATATCAGGAATGTCTAATCTCGAAGCCATGCGATTTCACTTACAAATACGAACAAATGGTTTGGAATGTTTCGTGTTGTGGCAGGATGGATTGGAGGATGGGTTTACCCTTGGAAATTTGACGAATGTCATGTACGCTCTTCATCATTGAGTACTAAGGCAGGCGTTCATTCTTCACTGGGAAAGTTATTATTATACTTTTGTTATTCCTTTTCTAATAAAAATTGTTGCTGTCAACTTTTTAAGAAAATACAATCATGTAATGGTGAAATTATGGTAAAATCGGCAACAAAAGCTTCTGCATAAAGTACGGAGGGGAAAAAACAGAAGAGAATCAAAATAGTTTTGCTTCTAGAATATATTCATAATCTCTAAAGAGGCTTTTTTACCAATATACGATAAACAGTAAAATTATATATCAAAATACTGTATTTTTAAAACTATTTACCAATATGCTGCACTTAAAATCGTTCGTAGTAAAAACAATTTTAAAATTACACACGTTCTTGATGTGAACGATTTCAGAAATCGTTCACGCCAAGAACGATTTTACTTTTTCTTGTTCACTCTCTTACATACGAATATCTGCCAATTTTACATGCAAAAATAAGAATCCTTAACAATGCTCTCATGAGGCTACAACGTCTATATTAGATTAAAATTTGAAAATCCCAATTTTTTTAATTTTTAAATAAAGCTTGATGAAATTTTCTGTCATTTCCTCTTCTTTTTATTTTTCTCATACCAAAAATATAACAAAAAAAAATATTTTGGTCACAGGCATAAAAGGTCCATGCCCAATATTTGATTTCTTGTCAAATCGAACAAATGCCACATGACAGGTTTTTTTTACCAAAATACTACAAAAAGTAAAATTATATACTAATATGCTGCACTTTTAAAAGTATTTACCAATATGTTACACTTAAAATCGTTCTTCAGATGAATAATTTTTAAAGTCATTTATCTACTGAACGATTTCCTCATAATCTATCATTGGTGTGCATGAAAGCTTGTGTGGTATTTATCTGCACTTAAAATCGTTCTTGATAAGAACAACTTTCAAATTACACACAAATCGTTCTTGGCGTGAACGATTTTAGAAATCGTTCTTGGCGTAAACATTTGTTAAATGAAGAAGTCGTTCAACAGATAAATGACTTTAAAAATTATTCACTTGAAGAATGATTTTAAGTGTAGCATATTAGTAAATACTTTTAAAAATACAGTATATTAGTATATAATTTTACTCTTTGTAGTATTTTGGTAAAAAAGCCAATGGTGTGGCATTTGCTTGATTTGACGAGAAATCAAGTATTGGGCATGGACTTTTTATGCCTGTGACCAAAATAATAATAATAATAATTTAGTCCTACAACTTAATTACTACAATTAAAAATTTACAATTAAAGCATATTTTTTTTTGTTACGTATTGTTTGGTATGAGAAAAATAAAAAGAAGAGGAAATGACAGAAAATTTCATCAAACTCTATTTAAAAAATAAAAAAATTGGGATTTTCACATTTTAATACAATAGACGTTGTAGCCTCATGGAAACATTGTCAAGAATTCTTATTTTTACATGTAAAATTGACAGAGATTCATATGTGAGAGTGAATAGGAAAAAGTAAAATCGTTCTTAGCGTGAACGATTTCTGAAATCGTTTACGTCAAGAACGACTTGTGTGTAATTTTAAAATCGTTCTTGCCAAGAACGATTTTAAGTGCAGCATATTGGTAAATAGTTTCAAAAGTGCAGTATTTTGGTATAGTTTTATTGTTTATCGTATATTGGCAAAAAAAACCTAAAGAAATCCTTTCATTAAAATCAAATTATTGCGATTCATGAAGGGACAAAAGGATTGGAATGTATTTGGGAATTCTGCATAGAATCAACTATTTACGCCACAACTGAGCTTGTAGATGTTCTCATCCATCTAAACACCCATTCTCAACTTGCAATTGATCGTTGGGCCACAATCATGGTTTTGACAAAAGCTACTTCTTTCGGCATTTTTCCTTTTTCGAAAAAAATCATTATGTTCAAAATTTGTTTTGTGCAAAATCCAATCCGAACGCACTTCTTAAATTTTAGTTAAATAATGCCAAGGCTTGGGCTGTGGCCTGTGGGGAGCGAGTAAACAAGAACCAAATGGATCAATTTTAGGAGCCACTGGGCTGTTGGTGGTTGTTGTGACTTATGATAGGAGGCATTATAGTGGCAGCGTTTTGGGGCTGTGTAATTCAAATTTGATGGGACTCAACCCCATCAACAACAGACAATGTGCACTGGTGCTTGTTTGACATGAGCAAGCAGTGAATGGCATGGTGGACAGGGTGATGAGGCGTGGTTCCCATTTTAGAGATGAATAGTGGAGCTCATTTATATCCCACCAAATCCAATATGTTTTATTATTAAATTAAAACTACCACATTCCATGCTTAATATAAAAATTAGTTGACTAATTTGAGTAGATTAAAAAAATTAATTAAATTAATTATTTATAATAAATAGGTTGTATTTCTTAAAGTACCCTTATTAATTATGTGTATTAGCTAGAATTACCATTTGATGAAACATTTAATATATACAAATACTACAAGGATTACTTTAGAAAAGATAGATAAATATGATAGAGAAAATGTATTAGGGTCTTATATTTAAGACTAAATTAAATGTCAATCTATCTCTTATATTAAAGATAGAAGGTAGAAACTTGTAACATTGAATACCATGTAGCTAAAAAGAAAACTATGTTAGATCTTTTTAACACTTACTGTGGTTGGCTTTTTACGGAATTTCCTGCAAAACAAAGAAAATGGGCAGTGAAATCCAAGAAATAACTTTCTTTGCTATGCCTGATTCGCTTTCCCCCTCCTTTCTATTTTCTATCCATTCATTTTTTGCATTTTTTTTTTAAAAAATCAACCTTCCAAACATAATCTAATTGTTTCAACACACCGTCAAGGCATCAACCATTAATTAAATCTAAATTTTCAGACAAAAGAACACAAGTGAGATGATGAGGGCGACAAACAATTTTAACGAGTGTTTTATTTTGTAGAATATCATTTTTAATACATAAAATTAAAAATAGATTAAATTAACCATGAGCGGTTAGTTAAAACCGTTGAGTGTGACAACAAGAATGAGAGGACCAACCAGATGGAGAATTTCTGTTAATAAGAAAAAAAAAGTCAACATTTTGAATGAGACCTTACTGCTGCACTTATCACTGATTAGAATATGGCATGTTGGCCGATTGGTCATTAAACAAATGATTGATCAAACATGCAAATATCCGCCACATGAGAGCTTCATCGGCACCGGCCAATGTATATATATAAGAGCAACAAAATATCTTTGAAAACTGTACGATGACCTATTAGCTTTGTCCAGTTGATATCATTATGTAATATTTCTTCCCCACGAGTAATTAAAATTTATGAAAGTTCCAGATGAAGTTCACTCTCTCACGCATGCACATTCTTTTCTTCCTATTTTCAAGGAGAAAGCATTTCAATTGTCTCTATTAGAAAAGCTATTCAAAGAAAGTTGACTAAAACCAGTAGCACATCTCTAGTGGTAATACTACCTCCGATCCTAATTATAAGAGTTAGTTGACTAATTCGAGGAGATTAAGAAAATAAGTTAAGTTAGTTATCTATAATAAATATGTGTTATCTTTCTTAAAATATTCTTGTTAATCAAGTGTATTAGTTAAAACTACTATTGTTGGAAGGACTGTTTTGAAAAAAAAACGTAAATATGAGAGACAAAGTGGATTAGAGTTTTATATTTAGTATCAAAATAAAAGTTAAACAAAGTCTTATATTAAAGACTGAAGGTAGTATATACTTTGCATTTGACTAGAAAACATTACGTTTATATATTGAGCACATTAAAGAAATAAAAAGCAAGAACGTGTAAGAGATTCATCTCTTTTCCTTTTTTGTTTTTTTTTTCCTTTTATTTCATCCACGCTCATTATCTTTAATAATTCTTTTGAATGTTAATGTTGAGAGATATTTTGTTGATTGTTGAGCACTCACTTGACGGGATAATCACATTATACTCCTCCGATCCTAATTATAAGACCCAATTGACTTATTTGAGGAGATTAAGGAAGTAAGTTAAATTGGTTATTTATAATAAATAAGTGTTGTCATTCCTAAAATATCCTTGCTAATTAAGTATATTGGCTAAAACTATCATTATTAGAAGGATTATCTTGGAAAAAAATGCATAAATATAAGAGACAAAATGGATTGGGGTCTTATAATTAGGACCAAATAAAAAGTCAAATGGGGTCTTATAATAAGGACCGGAGGAGTATATTAATTAAGAGAAGAGGACATATGGGGTGGGAAGTCATCCCATTAATTAATACTACCTCCGGTCCTAATTATAAGAGCCAGTTGACTAATTTAAGGAGATTGAGAAAGTAAGTTGAGTTAGTTATTTGTCTTAAATAGATGTTGTTTTTTTTTAAAATATCCTTATTAATCAAGTGTATTGACTAGAATTATCATTGTTAGAAGAGCTACTTTGGAAAAAAATGTATAAATATGAGAGACAAAATGGATTGGGGTCTTATATTTAGGACCAAAATAAAAGTTAAACAGGATCTTATATTAAGGACCGGAGGTAGTATTCAACAAAAGCAATATCATAAGAATGCGTCACACAGTGGCCTCCCCACTTAATCCAAGTTGTTGGTGATGAAAGTTTAATTTGAAAAATTGCAAATTGAAGAATATGACATAATTCACACACACACATATGTCCATTTACGTTTTGTTGGAACATTTCTGGGATTTTATCCCCTTCAAGTAAAATATGTCCACTTCAAACACAATTATATTTGACATTTTTAGTATTATTAGAATTCCTCCCACAATATTCAAACGTAAAAATGAAATGACATCCTTGTTTTTTCACCCGTGTCAGTATATTCCATCGTTGGCGGAAAAAATCAGTATATTCCATGCATCAATTTTTGTTCCCATTTTTTATTCTGTAAACATTTTACCATTTCCATTGAACCATATGTACACCCGACTATATGGTTAAGTGCAACATTTGGAAATAGGATTGTAATCTGATCAATCTGGGGCGACCATAAATGATACATACATACGTACATATATGTGTGCGTGTATGTAGGCCATTCCAAGGTTTCCTTTCTGTTGAATTATAATGTCTTTGCTTTTAGAAGATGCGTGACATTTACCTAATCTTAGCACTAAGTGCCATCGTTTTTTGGTGGGTCCTACTCATTAACCTGTTTCACCTTGTGAAGATAATGCTGAGAACAGTAGTATAATTAATTATATCGTATTTTAATTGAAATTTTAAAAACCACTATAATATAATAATTAATTAAATATCACCATAATTTAAATAACCATATAAATCTACATAGCTAGTACGGACACAGTTGAGAAAAGTTTGTCCTTTGCGGCCCTACCCCCAAATCTCCATATTAGTCTTTGCTTTTAGTGAGAGGTACCATTATAGTCCAACAAAAAACATCTCCATAATTAATTAGGTCATTGATGTAACCTGCCACCATTGTATAAGTCACACGTATGGGTAATAACTAGCTTCTAGCTAAAGCCTTTCATTTAATTTAATTCAAGATATATCATTATCAATTTAATTAATTTATTGGTTTAATTAATAAATTAGCTCAATGGCCATTGATCCATCGTGGATGAAGAAGTAGGAATTGATCCACCCAAAAACTCTTTAAATGAATAAGTAAGCTATCGTATATGATTTATTAGAAAATATAGTCACATCACGTCACTCATTTTAATTTGAACGCCATTTATTCTTTATATTTATATCATCACCAATGTGCGCAAAACGTTATTTATGTAACCTTCTTTTCTTAGGGATATCGTACATGTGCATTCATACAAGTAGAAAATTGTGCAACATCTTCCATTAGAAAGGCTATATACGTTTGGGGATGCATTTAAATACTCCAGTCATAAAGGTGTTCAATTTCTATGTATTCTTGTAATAAAAAAGTTATAAATTTTAATTGCTTTTCAAGAAACTCAACTTGGATTGATAATACTTTTATTTTATTTTATTCGAGCTATGTTTTATAATAGTTGTTAAGGAACCGAAAGGTTGATTAGAATAAGTTACTTCCTCAATTTCTTTTCTCTAATTTAACTATAGTATTTATTTTGATAAAGAAAGAAGCAAGACGCTCAATACATGAATAGAGACTCTTAATCAACAATAAGGGAAGGGCGTACGGATGATTTCCATCGCACGGAAGCGTAACAAGCTGATTAACGCAATTAGGTTCAATGATTAATTATTAATATTAGGCATCCCCCACTCAGATATACCCACTCAAATATAAATCTTAATTAGTGCTTCAGCATCACTTATGTCAATGACCACAAAATCAACAATATCTCTTAATTGTGTCACAATACTTTCAACCATGTTCTCCCTCATTCAATATGATAATATATATATATAGGGATCATGCTTCCTTTTTTTTAAAAAAAATTAATAACACATTATAACACGTAGCCCATACACACACAATCCGATCTCTAATATAAGACCTAGTTAACTAATTTGAGAAAATTTAAAAAGCTAGTTAAGTTAGTTATTTATAATAAATAAGTGTTATTTTTTTAAAAATATCCTTATTAATCATGTGTATTTGAATTACTCATTAGTAGTGACTCCTTAACATATGCATAACTACTATAAGAATTACTTGAAGACAAAATAAATAAATATTAGAAAAAATATATATTAAAATCTTATATTTATGACTAAATTAAACATTAAGTTTGCTCTTATATTAAGGACTGAAGTAGTATAACCTAATAAGTATATATAAATGACTTGAATTATATACCACTATCATAGGGAGTAATCTCTTTAATTTACGCATCAATTATCTGATGATACACGAAGTTTCTGATCACTTTAATCTTCATAAACTTGTAGGCACAATTCATCAGCTTTCCTTGATAATATTTCCATAATTTCTTCATATCATAATGACGATTAGAAAGAAGACGCACAGGACCTAATTAAGTTGAAGTCACACAGAGGATAGTGTCATTATCACGAGACATGTAATCGCACTGAGAACAGGGCAAGCACTAGAGTGAAGAAAATAGTCAGCCTAGCTAGTACACAATTTAGATTTGCCATTTACTTTTCCTTTATGAATGAACCTTTAATTAATATTTATTTCTTCCAAAAACAAAATGTTAGCGGCCAACAGAGAGAACGCGTGGGAGGAAGCCATTTGTGTGTGGGATCAGGAATGAGAAAGAAGGTACACATTTCGTACACTAAGAGAACAAAAGCTAGTGGCATATAGCCATATACTGATCGTGGTGCCTTTCCTTTTCTTTTCACCATAAAAAAACTATAGACCATTGCGCGTCCGTGCTCGCGGCAATCAAGCTCTGATCTTGATCTGCTTCAATAATAGCTGATATAATATAGTTAAAAGTGCATGGTTTATAACCCTTATTAAATAATCCCATCTTTTGGTAGTGCTCTGAATATTCACACATTTTCTAGATTTGTGAATGGATGTTAGTCATCAAAGCAGGTGATTAATTATTAGATCATATATGCAATTTCCGGGAAGTTCCATATGCGGATACTAACGATATGCACACAGTTTGTACGCGGTGTCTGCTAAGTGATGACAGATTCATTTACCAAAATATAGATATGGCGCTTTCCTAGAATCAACATCGATAATTATGCATCAAATTAAATACTTAGGTTTTGCTTTTGGGATAACTATGAACTCATCAGTTCTCTGGGAAACGGAAGTGTAGAATGAACGATGATTTTAGTTTGTTTAACTCAAAATAGGTATGGAGAGAAAATAAAACTCTTTGATGAGTGCTAACTATGACTAATTATAGGATTTTTGTGTACGTAGATACATATTGCCATGTTTACATCAATCTATTCTTGTCCTTCCAGTTCAACCCTATGATTAACAGAAAATAACCTAATTATATGTTCTTGCAATTGATTCCTTCCTCTATCGCTCCAATTAAGGTAAAATTCCATCCAAAATCATAATTATCAATATGTCAATATGTTATCTATACCTTTACGTTAATATATACATATATACACGATGCCGTGCGCAGGAGAAACTTCTCTTCTTTGGTGTAATTCAGACAAATGCAGTCACCAAATTTCTTTTTCTAACTCATGTCTGAGTCCCTCTTAATTCAGATTTGCGGATTATAAAGATCGTATGGAATGCCTAATTTAGGCACGCATAGTGAGGTGACGCATACGAATGAGCAAGCTATCTAAGCTACGTACGTGTTGCTAGCTAGATATAAACCTTTCGGCACGAATAGCTGGGTTGCATTCATTGTGAGGATGCATATGGTATGATATGAGACATTCTTTGACAGAAAGGTCCTTTAAACTAATTATCATCTTTTGAAATTAGCACCCCCCCCCCAACAACACTTGAGCGAGAAATGAACAAGAATCACTTACTTATAATCACGATCGAACATATGTGCACAATCACACAATCACAAAGTTGTGGCGGGGTCATATTGGTGTTTCCATATAGCAGCGCCCAGCATGTGCAAAACCTGTTTTGCTTTCTAGTGGGATTGCCTCAACTCTCAGCTTTACATTTTAAGCATCCAATTCTAATGTACTACGCTACAAAATATCGCACATCGAGCTATTTTTAATTCGGGAAAAGACCTTTTCATCATCCGGTCCTTCTTCCTAGGGTCACAAGGGTGGCTAGCTTGTGTTTGCCAACGTGTTCCACTATGATCACTAAGGTCGTACCATGTATATTTTGTCATATGGGTGTACTTGTGTCTCTGTTAATTCTCTTCCTAGTCCTGTCTCCTGCCTTGCCTTGAAGAATAATTTGAAAAAAAAAATGAATGGGCCAGCTGATGACCCACTTTTCTTGTACGTTCGTTCCTATATAAATGGGGTCTCTCAAACTAAAGCTCGTGTCCAAAAAGAGAGTGAGTTTTTCAAGTCTGGCTAAGAGGGAGAGAGAGAAGAGAGACAGAACACAAAATGGAGTCAACAACTAGTGATCATCATGTAATCTCAGTTAGGAATGTTGATGGGGAGGTTGTTGCTAATGAGGAGCACAAGAGGTTCAACTGTTCAGTTTCATCCATTGTCTCAAAGAAAATCCACAGCTCTCTTGTCCCAGTTTCTTCCTACCTGAGGGACAAGACCAAAAGTGAGCATGATGCCAACAAGGTGATTCACAGCATCAAAGTTGGAATGTCTCTAGTTTTGGTTTCGCTTCTCTACTTCTTAGATCCTCTTTACGATCAAGTCGGAGATAATGCAATGTGGGCTATCATGACCGTCGTCGTCATCTTTGAATTCTATGCAGGTTCCATCTCTCTCTCTCTCTCTCGCTCTTTTTTCTTTCTATTAAAAGTTTTCATAACACATAGGCTACAAATATACATGATGATGACATTCTTCAAGTTTTAACTTGAATCTGATGAAGACATGTACTAATGAATGATATCAGGAGCGACACTTGGGAAGGGGTTGAACCGAGGAATGGGAACCATATTAGGAGGTGGCCTGGGCTGCTTAGCTGCAGTTATAGCCCAGGTCGTTGGTGGGGTTGGCAACTCTATCATTATTGCTGCTTCCGTCTTCATCTTCGGTAAGTTTTGGATTAAAAGACATTTCAACTTGTGATAGATCTTGCCCTGTGTGCATTTGCAGTCACCCATCATCATTAATATGTGTTGTTAATCGGATATTTCAGGGGCTGGTGCGACGTATTTTCGACTGGTTCCGAGCATAAAGAAGAGGTACGATTATGGAGTGATGATATTCATCCTGACATTTAATCTGGTGGTCGTGTCCGGGGTTCGAGCCGATGAAGTGTTGAAGATAGCACGGGATCGTCTCTTAGCCATCGTCCTGGGTTTCGTTGTCTGCATTTCTGTCAACTTGTTCGTCTTCCCCTTGTGGGCTAGCGACGAGCTTCATCACTCTACCGCCTCCAAATTCCATGACCTCGCCAATACTATTCAAGGTATACATGCATGTATATATATCTACATATGGTTCCAATAGAGGTCTATATAGATAATATTCTTTTAACTTAATATGGGCTTGCAAAGAAACATCCTATTGCATGTTGTAAAGTAAAAGGTAATTGCCAGTACGGACCAAAAAGAAAGATGTGATACAACTGCGTCAGAAACGGGGGAATTCAGTTATGCCTATAAATATGAACTGCTAAACCTAAAAAGCGCACTTTTGTCTTTTCAATGAAGGCTGCTTGGAGGAATATTTCCAGTCGGACAGTGAAAAGGAAAACGCTAAAATAAATACTAGTTGCTGCAAATCGGTGCTGAACTCCAAGTCAAAGGATGAGTCACTGGTACTCTTTTCTTTCATTTAATTAAAAAGATTCATTTATCGTTTTGTTATTGTTTCCTATGAAAAGAATAAAACTTTATGTGCTGTGTATTATTTCAGGCAAATTTTGCAAAATGGGAGCCCTGGCACAGAAGATTTGGATGTTCATACCCTTGGGATAAGTATTTAAGTATTGGAGACGTCCTTCGAGACTTAGCTGCAATTATTCTTGCTCTGACCAGCTGCCTCCAATCATCCAGACAGGTACATAGATATAAACAGATGCGATCATATATATCACTTTCTAGTTGGAGTTATGTGTTAATATAGAAGAACCGAGAAATAATAGCTCTTGAACGAATTTGCAGGCTAAGGAATGGGAAAAGGAAACACTACTAAAAGAAGCATGTGAAGGAATTGGATCAAGTATTGCATGGAGTTTAAGAGAAGTTGGAGATAGCATTAAGCAAAAGAGGAAGTTGAAGGCAGAGAGTGAGATCTTAGCAAAGTTGAAAGCAGTAAGAGGAGAGATGAGCTCCATGATTGGAAGGTACAAGATGGCAGAAAGTGAGAATAATGATAGTAATTTGGCAATTGCGAGCTTATTAGTGTTGTTAATGACAGAGACGGTGGACAAGGTAGAAGAATTGGCAAAAGTAGTGGATCAACTTGGAGAAATTGCTGGCTTTTCATTCTGACGCATCTAGTACGAGTTAGTGGCACAGAACTAGTAAGCACAAAGACATGTATGTGCCAATTTTGGCCCCCCTGTATTAGAGAGTCACACGGTGATGAAAGCCATCATATATAATATTTATACGTGAGCGATAATGAATATTTGCACCTCTGCTTATAGACTTGGGGTGGGTTTAGGTATATATATGTAACTCTGCAGCTTTAAGGGCAAATAGTGTCAAAGTCCTAGCTAGAGCTAGACTGGCCGGCAGCAGGATTCATATTGAGCATCAACTGTACAAAAGAGCCAGCACAGGCAAGTAATGAAAGTTTCATCAACCATTAAAAATAAAAAAGAAGGGGTTAAATTTTTTTTTTTTTAAAAGTAAGGGACGGTCCTATCAAGACGATCTTATGGAAAGTTGAAAGCGATTTCTTTTTTGTGCTTATACCAATAGCTAACAAACTTAATAAATAGAAAATTTTGATTAAAAGTACCTGTTTAAGAATTTAATTGGTTAAAAGGATTTAATTTAAATTTGAGCGAATGCTACTATAATCCGTGAGTGCAATATATTTTTTACTGTGTGTAATATATCACTAATAGTATGCAGCAACCATTAATATAAAAGTCATTTGCATATAGTAAAAAATATGTTGTATGCAACAAAAGATATGTTGTATTCACATACTATAATTACACGCGTTCAAATTTAAACCTTTTTAGCCAATTAAATTTTTAAACAAGGATTTTAACTAAATTTTCCTAATAAAAATCAATCAAATTTTCAAACAAGGATTTTTTTACTAAATTTCCGTAATAAAAGTCAATCGTATTATTAATTACAATTATAATTCTAATTTTGATTTGAATAATAGGTTTAAAAAATCTATAGAGTTACGGTTTGATTATTTAGTTATATAATTGGTTGCACTTTATAAATAAATGATAATCCACGTAATCCATTTTTTTTTTGCTCTAGGTTACGAGGGATCAGGGAGTAATATTTTTTTTGGGTCATATGCAACGGAGTAATATTGAATCTTCTGATACTCTGAAAGTACAATAAAACCATCGAAAAAATATGAAGTACTACTATTTCACTCAAAATAAAAAAAAAAGTACAATAAATTTGTTGAAGAGCTTCCGTGCTGAATATTTCATAATTTTAATTAAGACGGAAAAACAGATATTATTTGGATTGAATACAATAAAACAGAGATGACCCTCTCATCAAAATTTTTTCTCTTTTGAAAAAAATACAAATAATGGCATAAAGTAACCAAAGGATGCAACATCCACTGGCAGTATTGAAAAAACCACCAAAAGACAAAGCCTGTCATCAAATAGTATTATAGGCTTATGGCACAGGCCACCGGAACAAGGTCCTTTGCATAAGAAGCTTGTAACAAACCGCCGGCCGGCGAACGATTCGGTATTTCGGTTTCTTGAGAAATCGACCCACGACAAGAAGACAGCATGAAGAAATATGCATCAATTATGACTGCTATGATCTGCCTGCGGATCACTGCTGAGTGTTTTCTAGATGCCACCATCATTAATGTCCTCTGCAACGAAGCTGTGTTCACCTCAGGCGATCCTTTCGCTATTAGCCTTCACTATGTTCTTCAACAGCTTGAGACGGTGACGTCAACTCGGAGAAATTACGATTACTCCAACATTTCTCCTTATCCTAATGCTTTTGCCTACGGCCATGCTGCTTGCACCACCAATCTCACGACCTCGGACTGCAACTACTGTCTTGCTGCTGCTAAAAGGGCCTTGTTCGCTACGTGTCAGAGTCGGATTGGGCCTTGCTCCTTGCTCAGTGATTGTACACTCGGGTACGAGCAATATCCATTTGATGATTAGAACGCTGTGGCTTTCCAAAGCAAGGATTTGTGTTGATCTTAATGGCGTTTCAGTCAACATCTGTATTAACAAGCTGTGTATTACTGCTTGGAATCTTTAACATAAGACTAGATAACTAATTTGAAAAAATTAAAAAAATTAATTCAGTTAGTTATTTATAATAGATATATGTTAAATTTTGTAAATTAATATCACTGAATCATATATATTGACCTATATTTAGATAGAAATACCTTATAATTTATAGGATGTTTTTAAAAATATATTATAAATTTCAAAAATAAAATAAATCAAGTTCTTATATTTAAGATAATCAATTAATTTTTTATATTTAGGACCATCTTGGCGAGGGCGACTGATGGAAAGTGTGGATGATCGTGCAGAATGAAAGTCAAAACCAAATTAAACCCCACACACTCTTTTTCCGAAGGATTTACTTTTCCATTACGAATGAATATCTTTAATTAATATTTTATTGTTCCAAAACAATATGATAGCGGCAAACAAAGAGGACGCGTGGGAGGAAGCCATTTGTGTGTAGGATCAGGAATGAGGAAGATGGTACACAGTTCGTACACTAAGAGAACAAAAGCTAGTGGCAAGTACCGATATATATATATATATATATAGCGCCTTTAATTTTCTACATATTTTCACCATGATATACATGAAAACCATATACCAATGGGCGTCCCATGCTCGTAGCCATTCAGGCTCTTGATTTGTGTCGATAATAGTGTATATATTAAATAATCCCATCTTTTAGTAGTGCTCTTTGACTATTGACATATTTTATAGATTGTGAGTGACTGTTAATCACGAAAGCAGGTAATTAATTCTTAGATCATATTGGCAATTTCCGGGAAGATCCAAATGCAGATACAGATATGTTAAAGATACTGACACACAGTTTGTACGCGGTGTCTGGCAAGTGACGACCGATTCATTTATCAAAATATAGATATGGTGCTTTTCTAGAATCAACATCGATCATGCATCAATACCTAGGGTTTGCTTTAATTTCTGGATAAATAATTAACTCATGCATCGCTCTTGGTGCCATGTTCAAAATATCCGGTCTTCTTCGGTTCTGGGAAATGAAAGTGTAGAAATGGATGATGATTTTACTTTGTTTAACTCAAAATGTACAGAGAGAGAATATTCTTGTCCTTCCAGTTTAATCCTTTGATTAACAGAAAATAACCTAATTATGTGTTCTTGCAATTCCTTCCTCTATCTCTCTCATTAAGGTAAAATTCTATCCCAATTCATAATTATCAATATGTTATTTATACTCATAGATACAAAAAAAAAAAAAGAAGAAGAGGAAATTAAAAGGCAGAAAGGGATTTCATTGTAAAAATCACAGACCACCTTGCTGGGCTGGCTCTTCATTGCATACATTAATGAATAATACACGTGAACAATGAAAAATGGAATATTCAAGTCTGACCTAAACATACACTTCCTAGACACGTTAACGCTTATGGAATCTTCTCTGCAAAATGCATATCATACTACCTAAACACAGATTTATAACATAGTTAATCTATTTCCTAACGACATTTATACATTTAAATTAATATATGCACACACACGAACGCCGTGCGTAGGAGAAGCCTTCTCTTCCTCATTGTGATTCAGAAATGCATTTACCAAATATCTTTTTATAACTCATGTTCGAAGCCCTCTTAATTAAATGTCGATTATAGAGATCGTAAAGATTGCCTCATTGAGGCACGCACAGTGAAGTGATCACTCATACCAATAAGCAAGCTAGCTAAGCTACGTACGTGCTGCCAGCAAGCTAAGTAAGCCATAAAACCTTGGGCGCGAAGAATAGTTGTGAGGACGGGTAACATGATATGAGACATTCTTTGACAGAAAGGTCCTTTAAACTATGATCAACTTTTGAACTTAGCAACACTAGTTGTGTAAGAAATGAACAAGAATCACTTACTTGTATTCACGATTGAACATATGTGCACAATTAATCACAAAGTTGTTGCGGGGTCATATTGGTGTTTCCATATGTAGCAGCGCCCAGTATGTGCGAAACCTGCTTTGCTTTCTAGTGGGATTGCCTCAACGCTCAGCTTTACAGTTTAATCATCCAACTTTTTTTAATTTGCGAAAAGACCTTTTCATTATCTCGTCCTTCTCCCAGGTTCACAGGGTTCTAGCTTGTGTCTGCCAACGTGTTCCACTATGATCACTAAGGTGGTCCCATATATTTTTTGTCATGTGGGAGTCCTGTCTCCTGTCTTGTGTCTTGGAAGAATAATAAGAAAATGACTGGGCCAGTTGATGACCCACTTTAATTTGCTTGTACGTTCGTTCCTATATAAATGGGGTCTCCCCCAAACTAAAGCTCTTGTCCAAAAAGAAAGTGAGTTTTTCAGGTCTGGCTAAGAGGGAGAGAGAGAGAAGAGAGACAGAAAACAAAATGGAGTCAACTAGTGATCATCATGTAATCTCATTTAGGAATGGTGGTGGAGAGGTTGCTGCTAATGAGGAGTGCAAGAGGTTCAAGTGTTCAGTTTCATCCATTTTCTCAAAGAAAATGCCAAGCTCTCTTGTCCCAGTTTCTTCCTATCCGAGGAACAAGACCAAAAGGGAGCATGATACCAACAAGGTGATTCACAGCATCAAAGTTGGAATCTCTCTAGTTTTGGTTTCGCTTCTCTACTTCTTGGATCCTCTTTACGATCAAGTCGGAGATAATGCAATGTGGGCTATCATGACCGACCTCGTCATCTTTGAATTCTATGCAGGTTCCATCTCTCTCTCTCTCTCTCTCTCTCTCTCTCTCTCTCGTTAAAAATTTTCATAACACATAGACTACTATAACTTACATGACGATGACATGCTTCAAGCTAAGTTATCTGATGAAGATATATATTAATGAATGAGGTCAGGAGCGACACTTGGGAAGGGGTTGAACCGAGGAATGGGAACCATATTAGGCGGTGGGCTGGGCTGCTTAGCTTCAATTATAGCCCAACACTTTGGTGGGATTGGCAGCTCTATCATTATTGCTGCTTCCGTCTTCATCTTCGGTAAGCTTTGGATTAAGACTTTGTCCAACCTGTTTGATCTTGCAGTCACCACCAACACCATTATACTATTTTCGGTGCCGAGTTGACTAATTCAAGAAATTTAAGAAAATTACTAAATTATTTTAAATATTTATGTTTTTAATATTTTTTAAAAACTAATTCGCCTTACTTATAAATAAATTGATATACATATGCTATAATTAAGTAATTTAATAACTTTTTAATCTCACTAAATTAACTGGGTCTTATATTAAGCACCAGAGGTATAATGATATTAAAAATCGGATATTTCAGGCGCTGTTGCGACGTATTTTCGTCAGGTTCCGAGCATAAAGAAGAGGTACGATTATGGAGTGCTGATATTCATGCTGACATTCAATCTGGTTATCGTGTCCGGGGTTCGAGCTGATGAGGTGCTGAAGATAGCGCGGAATCGTCTCTTAGCCATCGTCATGGGTTTCATTGTCTGCATTTCTGTAAGCTTGATCGTCTTCCCCTTGTGGACTAGCGACGAGCTTCATCACTCTACCGCCTCCAGATTCCATGACCTCGCCAATACCATTCAAGGTACATATATACGCGAAACATCGTATTGCATGGTCTAAAATCAAAGGAAATTTATGGACCAAAAGGAACTGCTTGTATCGCCTAAAAAGTGCAGTTTTGTCTTTTCGATGAAGGCTGCTTGGAGGAATATTTCGAGTCGGCCGACAGTGGAAAGGAAAATGCTAAAATAAATACTAGTTGCTGCAAATCGGTGCTGAACTCCAAGTCAAAGGACGAGTCACTAGTACTCTTTTCTTTCATTTAATTAAACGCAGAAACTCCATCACAGATTCATCAATCGTTTTACTGTTTTCAACAAAAGAATAAAACTTGACGTGTCGTGTATTATTTCAGGCAAATTTTGCACAATGGGAACCCTGGCATGGAAGATTTGGATACTCATATCCTTGGGATAAGTATCTAAGTATTGGAGACGTCCTTCGAGACTTAGCTGCAATCATTCTTGCTCTCAGCAGTTGCCTCCAATCATCCAGACAGGTACATACGTAAAACAGATCATTCGATTCATGTATATAATTATAGATCTCTATCTAATTGCAATTATGTATCAATAATATAGAAGCACCAAGAAATAATAGCTTGAATGAATTGGTGTGTTGGTGATGCAGGCTAAGGAATGGGAAAAAGAATCACTTAAAGAAGCGTGTGAAGCATTGGGATCAAGTATTGCATGGAGTTTAAGGGAAGTTGGAGATAGCATTGAGCAAAGGAGGAAGTTGAAGGCAGCGAATGAGATTTTGCCGAAGTTGAAAGCAGTAAGGGCAGAGATGAACTCCATGATTATTGGAACGTCCAAGATAGCAGAAAGTGAGAATAGTGGAGGTGATGATTTGGCAATAGCGGGCTTATTAGTGCTGTTAATGATAGAGGTGGTGGAGAAGGTAGAGGAATTGGCAAAGGCAGTGGAGCAACTTGCAGAAATTGCCGCTTTTCATGCTAACGTATATGCGGCTAGCTGATTAATAAGCACAGATACACCTACGCATGTGCCGTGATGAAAGTGTGTGTGCGTAAGCCATGGTATATTTGCACCCCCACTATATAGAGTTGGGGCGGGTTTGGGTATATACGTATGAACTAAAAAACTCACTATTGTAAGATAAAGAAGAACAAGTCAGTTTCATGTACTTCTCGAGTCTTTAACGTAACAATCACTTAACCAATTTAGGTAAATTAAAAACTTTAAATAAATTATTTAATACTAAACAATATAATATGATATACTATTATATAATACTCTTCGGTCCTTAATGTAAGACCTAATTAATTAATTTAAGAAAATTAATGATGTTAGTTAAATTAGCTAATATGGTGTGTTTTTTCTAAAATATCTAAGTATTTTTCTTAATTATCTCCCTCATTTTCTTATTTGATTATTATTGGAAGAATACCATATGATTAATTTGAAAAAAAAAATTGATAAACATGTGAAATAAGTTTTATATATAGGATCAATATTAACTTCCTAATTGAATCCTACATTAAAGATCAGAGGAGTATTAAATTATATATCAATTTATAAGTTAAACAAATTAATTCAAGAATCAATGATATGTAGAATAAACGAGGTCATGTAAATAAGATCGAAGGTAGTACAAGAAGTATATTTTATCAGATCCATAGAACCTATGCCCCGGCAAGTAATGGAAGTTTCAGGAACCTTTTTTTAATCAAGACAGTGTTGGAGAAGGTTGCAAGCGACTTCTTTCTCGTATTTTGCTGCCATGTCAATAGCTAACAAATTTTTTTGAAAAATTAATCTTATTATTAATTATAACTTACGAATAATATAACTTATATAAATTTTATATTATGCTTCAAAATATAAATTTTATATATTAATATATTAATTAGTAAATAGTAGCGCAAAAGAACTCAAAATGCACTTTATTATTAAAACAAATTATTCTTCACGCAATTTAATTCGCTTCTTACTCTACTTTTAAGAGATAGTAATATTCAATCTTCTAATGCTCTAAAACTAAAGTACAATAAATCTGGCACAAAAAATGAAGTATTTCAACCAAAAAAAATACAATAAATTTGTGGAAGAGCTTCCCTTTAATATTTCATATATTACCTCATGTTCTTAATATAAAACTTTATTTGATTTTTATTTTAGTCTTAAATATAAGATCTCAATTCACTTTGTCTCTCATATTTATACTTTTTTTTAAAGTAGTCTTCTAACAATAGCATTTTAGTCAATACACTTGATTAGCAATAATATTTTAAGAAAGACAACATTTATTTAGGACAAATAACTAACTCAACTTACTTTCCGTAATCTCCTCAAATTAATCAACTAACTCTTATAATTAGGACCGGAAGGTAGTATTTAATTAAAACAAAATAAACAGATACTATTTGGATTGAATAAAACAGAGATGACCCCGTCATCATGTTTTTATTAATATTATCAAGTGGTTTTTGAAGACTCCGAGTTTCTCCCTGGAGTGCCAGAAACAAACAACAAAGCCTGGCACCAGATAGTATCATACTATAGCATAGGTCAATGGAACAAGGCCCTTCGCTTACAAAGTTTAACCAAACTAACTTTGTGATCGGCGATCCGGTTCCGTGACAGTGAGAAATCGATCGACGAGGAGGAGAGTATGGAGCGGGTTCCGCCAGCCAAATATGCAGCAATTACGATTGCCATGATCTGCCTGGGGACTGTTGCTAAGTGTGTTCCGGATACAACCATCATCAATGTTCTCTGCAACGAAGCTGTGTTCACCTCAGGCGATCCTTTCGCTATTAGCCTTCACTATGTTCTTCAACAACTTGAGACAGTGACGTCAACTCGGAGAAATTACGATTACTCTAACATTTCTCCTTATCCTAATGCTTTTGCCTATGGCCACGCTGCTTGCAACACCAATCTCACAACCTGGGACTGCAACTCCTGTCTTGCTGCCGCCAAAACGGCCTTGTTCGCTCCGTGTCAGAGTCGGATTGGGGCTCGCTCCTTGCTCCGTGATTGTGCACTCAGGTATGAGCAATATCCATTTGATGATTAGAACGTTGTGGCTTTGCAGTGCGAGGATTTGTGTTGATCTTTACGGCAACCACAAAACGTGTTAAATTTACTCTGTATTAATACGCTGTTCATTTCTTTGGTGTGTGAAATTTCTATGACTATCTTGGCCAGCGTGGATCGTAGAAAGTCACCAACGTAATACTCTGCTTTCTCCATGACATGTTTTCACACATCATTCATAAATGATCGTCCAGAATAAAAGTCAAAACCAAACCCCACATACTCTTTTTTCTGAAGTATTTACATAATTACACTTGCGTTCCCCTGTATGACAACAAATGGCCATAAGATCTAGTACAAGTATATAAACCTGTATACGGTGAAAAATCCGCTACATCAAAGACTCAATGTTCATCATTCTTCTATGTATTTGAAAATTTACAACTTTTGAAATTTACAAAGACCTGCATGTGTTTTCTGATCTATCAATATGGCTTCTCAGTGAAACTTCTTTCATAGGCTGTCCCTTAAATTCATCATCCCGCATATAATTTCATATGAGTGTGGTGGTGTGTTGACGTATAGTGCTAGAGACTACTCCAACAAGGGTGAAGAAATCGTTAGGATATAAGGCAAACCAACATGTGTAGATGTATCGACCACTGATGTGGCTGAGCTCGCAAGACCCAACTTCAATCCAGCTTCACAGTACTCACCCATCATAATGAAGGCAGCATGAAGAAAATTGGAAAAAAAATTTGTATACCAGAGCAAGCTTTCCAGAGAAATTACAATCAAACTTGGGAAACTCTTGTTGCATTTATTGTGCGGTGTGTCTCCCGTTTAAGGAGAAGTGCATAGAGAATCTCATTCCATGAATCAGGAACACCAGGAAGGCACCAATGGCTGCAATCTTGCCTCCGCAGAGGGGCGGTACCCTTATCAGGTCCAAGATAGTAAATCGAAGCATGGCCATCCTTTCTGCGTAATGTCATTTGAGTGATATTTAACAAGTCCAAATTCGTCACTTTCGATTTATTCAAGTGCCCTGATAACACATCCAAGACAATTTCGACATGGCTATCATGATAATCTGGCAAGGGACCTAAATCAGGCAGGGTTTCCAAGTGACAGCCTCCACCAGTATTCCAGTCACCACCCCTGATATACACATCCAATGTGTCAGTAAAGATACAATCATTCAAGTGTAAGCAAGACGATTAACAAGGAAAAGGCAAACCTGAAATGCACAGGAGCATAAGTTCGGAAAAGGACGAAAGTCTTGTTCATGTTTACTTCACTAGCAATCCAGTTAGTTACTGTCCCCATTGATCTCCTGAATGCCTCTTCTATAGTCATATTCATCTGCACTTCCTGCCCTATTTGGTAATAACATCCCCTGAGAAATCAGAGTGAGCCCAAGATCAGAGCCATGTTGTTAGTTTTTCCTACGAACTGGCAATAACCAAATAGTCCATCGTGTTCATTGTTGAGGAAGCAGCCACAAATTTAAGGAATTATTAGATCCTATCCAGCCTACATTGGAGCTATAATCCATCTTCTATTTAGCATAGGTATGTCTTGTAATACAAAGATTTACACTTTTTCACGACACTTGCATGGAAGAACAAAATTAACGAACTCCGCAAAAATTTTACCCCCTGAAAGTTACCAGCAAAACAGCTAGTACCTTGACACTGAACAATTGTAATTCAAATTGATAGACAGGGTATAAACTCTCCGGATGACTTTTAAATGCAAAGAAGGTAGTTGCTTGCCAAAATTATTAAGTATAGCAACCAGCTCATCGGAATAACCAAGTTGACGAACCATACTTACATTCTTACAGTCTTCTCATAATTCCACCAATGCCCAGCATTAAGAACGAGCAGATCTGCATCTCTCCAACGGTGAGAAGTCCAGTCCATGAGATCAATTCTCAAAGTCATTTTTACATTCGTGGGTGCTCCACGAGGAGGCCTGCCCTGCACCACCAGATATGGTGATTTGTAGTATTCCACAGTGCAGTTGAAATCTCCAAACCTGAATGCCAAGAACCCTATGTGCTTTGTGATTGGACTTCCATTAATCTCATACACGGAGGTTTTGTTGGGAATTGCAGAAGAGAGCAAACAAAGGAGTGATTCCCATTGGTTCCTTCCTATTGAGTCACCAACAAATACAATACGCTTGTTCCTAAACATTTCCAACATCTTCCCTGCATCAAATCTGTTACAGGTGTGAAGAGCGGAAAAAAGAACCCCGATAATAACTACTTCAACAACAGAACCAAACACGAACAAATAGGATTTACCAATGCATAGCTTACAAATACAAAGAATGTCACTAAATTTACGTTTGAGGACATTGGATATGAAAAACTAAACTACAACGTTTGAAGATGCAAACTTAAAGCTTATGATTGCTGATGTAGTAAAATTTGCAGCTAACAGAGGAAATACCAAAGCAGCACACCCCAATCCAGAAGAATTTTATTATCCTTATAATGAAGAGGAGAGATAAAATAAAATAGAAAGTTGGGGTAAGGTCCAGAGATGAGCGCCAGAGCTTACCGAAATACAGGTGATGACGCGGGAAAATGACTCACAGAAACGTTTCCACGTTCGTCTCTGTTTTTTATGCTTTTTATGTGAGATGAAATATGTATTGCAGAGCCGATAGAAAAAAGTCACCGTTCTAATCTCTAGTTAACGTTACGAGAATTTCTAAGACGAGATTTCGTAAGCTTAAAGACTGCGTACTGCAGAACCTTTTTCCTTCGCGCCAATTCATTCGATGGTCAGAACCCAGGCATCAAAAGAGTCAATACAATTGAAAGGTGACTCCACAAAACAGAATGTTTTAGCGGCACCGGAATTTTGTCTCATCTTATTCACGGTGATCATATAAGTCGGAAGACAGAATCACACAGAACGTAAGAGCCAAGCACAACCTCGAGAAGGAACAAATATTTTCTGACAACATGGAAAGCAGAAAGTAAAATCCAAACAAATGAAAATATTTGGAACCTGGGCAACTTGCAGTCTCTGGGCTGCCAGCGCCACTTGGTGTAGATGCTATCAGGCCTGCCATTCTCATTGCACCGAAAACCTTGATCCATGAAGGAACAAACAGTGGAATTATACAGCGGATAGCTCTCATCCCAAACCCAATTTCCATCAAACACGTCACAACTATCACCATCTCGCTGGAGAAATTCGGGGCGAGAATCCCCGATCAACGGAGAAGACGAAGAAGAGGAAGAAGAAGACAAGGATAAAGTACCCCATCCCAGGGAAACCAGTCCTCCAGAGTGTATCCCCCTAAAGATAGACTGGAAATCCAGGTAGAAGAAGCAGACGATGAAGAGAGAGGCGATCAACAAGAAGCTCAATATTCCAAGAGTGGGTTCGAGAGGAATAAAGCGCTTAAGCTTCTTCGGCATATCCGGGGGGGTCATGGTGTCGCCAGAGTGCTGAAACATTCAAGGGCGTATCTCCAAAAGGTGCCAAGAAAGATGATATTATAAACGGAGGGCAAAAAAGAGACGAGGAGGAGAAGGGTGGACCCAGGAAGTGGAAGAATGCATTAATGGCAGAACGACTCTGGTTTTCGCCTTCACAGGATTAAAAGAAAATAACTAGTCTGTGGAATGGATGTCGCGTTCAACACGTTGCGCAGGCAAATAGTAACAGTTAGTCTCGTGAAGGGGAAGGAGCGTTAGGATTGGCTGGCAAGAGTCGCAATTTTAAAGGGTGGGGTGCCTGAGAACGACGGACGATATAATAGTCACCGGAAAAAAAAAAAAAAAGGAAAGGAAATATACGCGCTCTTTACCCGACAAAAAAAAAGGAAAAAAGCAATTTAGATTCCCCCTTGAGACCCAAAAAACCAAAAAGGAAAAAACTTGCAAGAGATGAAAGTAACAGAAAATGGTATTGTGCGGTTGCGTTCACCAAGATATGAGGATGGGGAGAGAGATTCTGCAGAACCCAACCAGCTAATCGAAACAGTAAAACCGGAAATTAAGTTGTTGGAAAAAGAAAAACAGTCAAGCAAGGGGTTTCAATTTCAAACGTTAATAAGAGCAGTGTTTGTGAAGAAAGCAAAGAAGATGAGGCTCATAAGCTAAGCTGGCGGCTCGAGGCATGAAAGTGAGGTTGACGCCGATGCTGACGGCCGAGAGCTGAGTAGGAAAATGCGTATTTTAAGGCGCATTACCCGAATGGGCCTGTCATCCCACAAATGTCATGTCACCCAATATGGTGGACCCCTCATCCATTTTACTTTATGTTGTATAAATAATCACTCCCTTCCTTCCTAACTAGGAGTAGTAATACGGCCTGACAGGTTAAAGTTAGATAATACAAGCTAAAAAGATTTAGAAGGTATTTGGATAGAAACCAAATTATAGTTTTAGAAGTATTTTTACGGTTTATGAAGTAAATATGTGGAAGAATTTGTCTCGTTTTGTGAAAAAGTAATTCTGAAATCATAGTTTAAGAGATAGCCAAACACCCCTTAGTGTAATAGTAGGTTGGTTTTAGTCAGCTGTAATCCGTCATAGTGGGTTCCAACTATTTTTTTCTTTTTTAAATTTTTTTCATTTTAAAAAATTGTTCCTTGTATAATATAAAATAATAATAAAATTTTTATCTTTCCTTTAAATACTTGATTAAAAACACTAAATAAATAAATAATATGGGTTTTTTTAAATTTTTTAGATAGAAAATAAAATATAATAATATATATAATGATTAATAAAATTTAAAAAATACAAAAAAAAAGGGAGTTAGCCCTCAAGTTGGCGGGTTGTGGATTAGATGGTACAAGTTGAAAAGTTTTGTTTACTGGTAGGTTAATTTTTAACCAACCCTAATTTGTTATTTTTGATAAGTTGACGGGTTGAACCCACAGGTCCAACTCATATTATCAACTCTACTTTTTACTGTTTCATTTCATCTGTGCCCTTCATCCTAGAGTTAGTATTATCACTTTCATATTTACATTACCAACGCTGTAGTAACAATAATAATAATAATAATTTACCACGAGCTCAGAAGCTTCCATTTGGATTTTATGAATCTTTTGTCCTGCGCAATGGCAAGTCGGATCCCTAATGACGGTGCCCCGTTTGTTTTTATTTCTTGCACGTAGTGGTCATATCATGATGTTATCATGTAGGTGTGGAGGAAATTTTATGATACCTGTGATCAGCACCCCAGTTAGATGGATATACACGAGTGGTTAGTTCTATCACCCTTTCGCTTTATTTCTCTAGTCCACCTACAATCCTCTCTCACCTAAAATTCTCATATCATCCCGCTTCTGATTATTACGTTTATATGAATCATGATCCTTGAAATGCTTAGATCAGATAATCATACCATATTATGTTTCCTTATGCCATAGAAGACCAACATAGGTCATCAGAGATAGACGGGAGGGAATTTTATAAAAAGAGAGTGAAAATTTTAATGAGCTCAATTTGAGAAGTTGAAAAAATAGAGTTATAAAATTTTAATAAAAATATGTAAGATAAAAGATTAAGTAAAATTAATTAAAAGTTTTAACCACATTTCTCTAATTTTTTAAATCAAGTTTATTAAATTTTTTCCCTCTCATTTCCTCTGTTATCCTCGTATCAAATTAGCCCTGAGAGGAGGTCTCATAGAGTCATAGATGGTTAAAATAAATAAATCAGAATATTTTCCATCCTATATTTATATATGTAAAAAATTATTTAAGTTGTGAGGTGGACCCAATGGAGAGAAGAGGGGCATGATGGTCTTGCACATTACATTGACTGATGGCTCCATTTTGAGCCCACAACCCCACCCCCATTTAATTTTGTTCGCCAACGTCTTTTTAGTATGCCTTTTCTTTCCAATAAATATGTGTGCATGTATCTATCTTTCTGTCTATGTTTCTATTTTATATTCCTTTATTCCCTCTCAAAACCTGGCACAATATTTACACAATAGAATAATTAAATCAGAATATGTCTTGTTAATTAATAATCAGTTCATGTATTTGCTATGAATGCAATAACTAATTATATGAGCTTCGATATTAGTAACTAATAATCAGATTAAGATTTAGATGATTTAGATTTAATCTCTCATAAAATTATTAGTATAAAAATATTAGATTATAAAATAAATAAATAAATAAGTGAAATAGTGTTGTGAAAGTGAATAGTTCAAAACTGCATTAAAGAAAAATAGAAAAGGAATATTTTATAAGAAATCAAATTTAAACTAAACTGTCCAAATGTTAATCTTGTAATTAGGAAAAGGAGAATATGGGAAGGAAAAAAAGGAGATAATCATTTTCCCTAATTAGTCATGTTGGGTTGCTCATTCACTTTAGGTAACGGCTAATGATAAAAATAATAAGAAAATCGATATTTACGGATTTGAAAAATACAAGATCCGTTAGAACTTTTTTCTTTTTAAAAAAACATTTCTTTGTCTTCTAATATTGCCTAACTGTTATTTAACTCCATAACAAAATAAAATATTCTAACAGTAAAAGGAACAAACTTGTGATTTAAGAACGAATTAAATTTTAACATTCGTACTTATTAAATTAACAACAATTTTCAGCTGTATTGTCTGAAATGATAAGAAGAAACGCCTAGAAGGAAGTGGTGAGATGTCATAAGAGAAGGCTAAAGTGGCTTGTGAAAGTTTTCTCATCATCGTTTCCTTTCCTCTTTTTTTTTTTTTTTAAATTACCTTTTATACCAGGGGACCTTTAAAGCGCCAGCACCGTATGATGTAAATGTAAGCGGTTCCTTTCACCCCCGCTTAATACAACAGCTGTCATTATTATAAGATTTTAATTTATTATCTCTAATATTTATTTATTTTGTTCACCAAATAATTCTTATCGTAATCACATGTTAAGAAGTTTATGTCAACAGGTAGTTCTAATACATATGTTTAATAAGATTACCTTAGAAAATATAACATTAATTTATTTCAAATAAATTAATCTTTTTTAATGTTTACAAATTAATTATCTAGTCTTTATATTAAAAACCAGAACAAAAATTTTGCAGCCTCATTAAAGCCAGGTCTCGTTAATGTGGTTAACGGTAATGGCAGATTGATGTGATTATTTGAAGTGGCTGGTCTTACAGATAACTAAAAACACCTCATTGATTTATGTCCCTTACACGCAGCAGAACCAGTTATTGGCAGGTCACTTCATGAGTGAATTTTCTTCGTCAATGTCTGAGTCGTTCTCCATCTTACAAAATGAATATTTGAACAAGGACGAGCCTTCTTCCATAAACTTATGATAGGTGACAAAAAGGGATTCATATATAAGTAAGGAAATGCTTTGTTAAAAAATAAATGAAGGCGTTTTTATCATTACAACTCATAAATGAATGCCACTGATTATTGAAAATGAATTTCTTAAACTTTAGATCTAGCCATTCTCTCTATTTAACGGATGCGATAGAATTAATTCTATCGGTGACTGAACCATGAACACTCATGTTGATATCCTGACTTGCGAAATGGGGCAAGATCAACTTATAAAAGCAACGCCATTACAGCCCACAGGAGGGTCGTCAATACGTGGATGTGAAGCTTACACGATCAGCCGACACTGTAGCTTCTCTACGAAGCCAATTCATCCCGGCTCTGCTTCTAAACTAATTTATTCATCTTATAAAACTGATATGTAATTTAATGTTTTTATATGAACTCATTTGTTAGAATTAATTAATTTATTTAGCTACAGGAAGAGTACTAAAAAAAGGGAGAAACGGAGAAAACAAGTCGCATGTTAATCTGATAATCCATGTCTACGCAGGGTCTCATTATTCATATGGCTAACAGAAGTCAACCCGCAGAATAAATAAACAGAAAAAGATAGAGGATCCTTTGAAATAACAAGTGCATAATTTTATTTATTGAGATTTTCGATTGACGGAGAAGCATCCAAAATTACTGTACTAATGATACCTGCTGCAAATACAGAACCTTTATGAAGGGATCATCATAAGGAATTTCAAAGCTCAAGCCAGGGAAGGTCCAACGATGAACCTCTTATAAAGTAAGCAAAATCAGATGTTACATACAGGAGTGCCTAAGCCGAGCATTTGTTAGAGGAACATTAGCATTTCACAATACACAGTACCAGAATGTCATGAAAGCAGCAATGCCACTTAGAATACAGAGCCTATCCAGCCTACTCTCGTTCCTCATTTTCTCCTCTCTTAACTCATTCTGTACTTTTGAATACATTCGACACGACTCGAGTACTTCACTATAATTTTTGCTCCTTCTGCAGCTAAGAGCTTCCTTAAGAATAAGCAAGCTGTTTCTTCCATTAACATGAGCTCCTTCCATGTCTTCCAACTGCATGCTCAGCTCTGTTAATCTAAGAGTTGTTTGGGCTCCTTCCTCTTCGCTGTGAACCATTCTGAACTTCATAATAAGGATGCATTCCACTACCTGACAAGGAAGAATGTCCTTGGCAGGAAGAACGGATCCAAAGCGGATCACAAAATCCTTATCAGTTGGCCAATGTCTCTGACCACCAAGGGGACTCCAGCTAGCAAGATTAGCTGCTTGCTTCATTTTTCTGTTTACAATTATCCAACTAAGCTGGAGCCCCTCCCGAAGCTCCCGCCACAGCTTCCCATCTTTCCTCTCTCTTTCCATGGAGGTAATTGGTGGTAGACCATCAGATTCAGAAAGGGTGACCACTCCATCATTGTTATCGTCTCTATCCGCGTAAGTGAGGAGATCAATCCGGAAAGGGCAGTTGTGAAACCAACCATTGAAGCCATTTGCATTTGGAATTCCCCATAATACTTTGGAACAGATTGGCTTATCTTTATACCTGATATCTACAATAGAAACAAAATCTAACGGAGATGTACTTTCATATTCATTCATTTCCCCGTAATATTCAGCCTCAGTCCAGTCTTCAGGGTATTCAAGATCATAACTCGGTTGATGCTCCACGACCTCCTTGTTTACGATAAGTGGGAAACAATCTGCATAGAATTTTCTGAACCCACCAATAGATGATATTAAACTTTTGACATCCTCTCTATTGGTTGAAGGCCACATGGATGAACATACATTTTCCCATAAACTCTCTTCTTTTGAAATGGAACAGAATGCTGCACAGGTACAAGCAGCACTAGCCAAAGTTGGACCATCAAGACGACGTAATATGTCATAGAATAGATCACTGCTTAGTGAGGCAATACTCTCAACTGGTGCAACTGACATAGAGATTGTTCTTTTGACTGACAAAAACAAAAAAATTTAAGATTAACAGAAAAGAAGCTTCTACTGACTTAAAAAAAGTATACTAGAAAGGCACTTTTGGCAATAGTAAGGGTTCCAGAAAGGCTCCCTCCAGGACAATCATGAATTATCTGTACCACCAAATTGAACAATATTTCCACCTCAAATATGAACAAATTTCAATATGCTCACATCCCAAGTATGTTTCTGAGCCATACAATACTGAATTCTATATACACATATTTTTGCCCGTATTGAGTGTTGATAGTTTGACGATTCAAAACATCTGATGGTGCCAAAACACTTTCTGATTTTTTTTTTTTAATGTTTTCTGTCAGGATAGTGATGTCATGGCTGTATACACATATTTTTGCCTGTATTGAGTGTTGATAGTTTGAGAAACTCGTGCTCATTCAGATCATTCAGCTAATAAGCAAAATAAAATGAACAGAATGTTTGGATTGTAGCTGTTCTTAATGAGTTTGGGTCTGAGAAAACCATTTTTTGGCTGAGGACCAGGTGATTGTGAGGAGAAATCTAGCCCTAGAAAACTTGCTGATATTCAGCATAAAGCAACTTACTGATTCAATCTTCACTGTATGAGTGTGGAAAAGAAGCTTTGTCGTTATTTTACGCAAGATAAAGAAGATTCCATATGTTAAAAGTGAATAGCAATCTTTAATGACTTTGCATGTCCCAAAAATAAATTACAGGGTATAAGTGTTTGAATAACACATTATAGTTTAGGTCTAAATGGCAGATAGAATACGCTTGTATCAATTCCATATTACAGGTATAAATGTGCACAGACAACTTATCATTCAGGCATGTGAATTTCCAAGGAGTCTCGTACTTAGAACTTACCCTTATATTATGCTCAGCACAAAACAATTAACAACCCAAAATCCAAACCAAAACCTGGGAGAGGGCTTACTCAAGTGGCCGCAAAAGCAACTAATTAACTAGTACACAAGTGAGTTATAATTACATAAATTCCGCATAAATAGTTCAGATTTCAGAAGTAAATTGACAAAATCAGCTTGCAAAAAGCCCTATGAATATAGCAGAATAAAAACCTTCACCGTAAAATTTCCAATCAGGCATAACAAAGACTAAAAAGAAACAATACCCAAGCACCAGAAATGCCGCACATACATGGAAATTGAACAGATATTCTGCCAAATTCAGCATCACACAGTTTACGATAACAGAAGGAAGGCCACAAAGTCAGTAAAATGCCACGTAAACATGAAAATTGAACAGTCATTTGGTCGAATTGAGCAACACGAGTTCGTGGCAACAGAGGCTAAGCCCCAAATTCAGCAAAAAGGGATAGAAGGAAGTGATCACCTGAAGTATCAGAAATGAGAAACGGTCAACGCCATCGACCAGCTTAAGCAGATGAAGCAGAAGGCGAACCGAGGAGATGCATAACCAGAAGGAAAATTAGGATTCGCGCCGACAAAGATCGTAAAATACGGGGTTATGGTATGGGTCACAATCCGTTGATGTTTAGAAGCAACGTCTCACTGTCTGTCCGCGACTCCCTGATCCCTTCGCCGCGGGACTTCAAAGGATCATATGAGAGAAATCTTGACACAGTAAGCTTGTATGCACAATAATTGTTTTTTGCAATGTGATGAAATTTAATATATTCATTCTAGAGCCCAACATCTATCTATTTATATAGTCCCAATATAGCGCTGGCAGAAAAAATCTCCATATACATGTAAATATATATATATATATATATATCAGTGTATATCTACATATACGTATAAATATATGTTAGTGTATATCTAGATTTTTTTAAAATATATATGAATATATACAATTTTCTGGTTCTATTTATAAGACACTTTCAACATATTTCATAAAAAGCAATAAAAACCTTAAATTATGTTAACTTTTTTTAAAAATATAACAATTTTACAATTTTACCTATATTTTATATATACACCTTTTAAAAAATATAACTTACACTGTAATAAATTAAAAATAAAATAAAATATTTATATTAAAAATTTAATAAAATGAAAAAATGTCATAAAATTTTTTTTCTACCTTACAAATAAGGTCAGGTATTTACTTTCGTGTTGGGTTCGCTGCGTGCTGGTCAACCCAGAACTTGTGGTCAGGAGGGTAATTACATTTTGCGATTTTATTTGTGACGTCATCGAGTAAATTCAAGGACACTCTATAAAGCTCACAAGAGAACTGGGTACGATCAATGGGACATATGTGCTGGCATATATGTATACATATAAATTATAATAAGTCATATCATTCATCCTTAAAAAAGTAAATATAAATCTGCAAAAAATGCGAGGATAAATAAAATAACGCAATAAAATAACAAGAATTTAGAAGAACAAAAATAAAGACAGAGACCTGGGGAGGTTGCGAGAGTGAAAGAAACAAAAAGACGAAAAAACCGAGGGAAGCGAAGCGGGCGGTTAAGGAAGGGGAAGGCGGAAGGGTGGCAGGTGGCAACGGGTGATGTGGACCTGTTCATGAATCCGGACGACGCTGCCTGTGACTTTATTTATACTTTATAATAATGTATTGATGAGCAGCCATTGCATTACAATTACAATTGCATGATCTCCCCCCTCTGCTTTCTTTACTCCATCACCTTCCACTCTTTTTTTCCCCTTTCTTTTTCTTGGCATTCTTGTTCCCTGGGCACCAAGATAATGAGATCCCACCGACACCTCACTATGCCCTTCCCCTTGATTCAGTGTTTCAGCTAATTTGTATCTGCATATATCCCGTTCATGCGATTTAGTGCTCCGTCTAATTTGCATCTATTCTCCCTCACTACCTATTATTCATACTTAATACATAGCGTAAGGATCTTATATTTAGAACCGAAAAAATATACTATAAGCGTAATTATATAGATAATGTATGGATATTAAGCAAACGGTTAAACTCCTGTACATGTATAATAGTACTCCTGGCATTTCAAAATTCAAATTTAGTCTATGGCGTCATTTTTTTCCCCCCCAATATAATGCGTATCAAAACAAACCCATGGCTGTAGTATAATTGGATAATCCTGTCCTGTTTTTTCATATGTATTTTTGAGATAAATGAGGATGGATGGAGCATCAAAACGTTTTTACGAATGTAAGCGGATATAATACATGTTATTGGTGGGAGGGGGATGTGATTATCAGAGGCATCTCTCTCTATCTAATGTCTTGATAAAATAAAAAAGGAAAAGAGCCAGTAGGTGGAGGAACTTGGGGCCAGCTGGAGTTGAGTGCAGCGATTAATTAGGTCAAGTTTTTGACCGCCGCAGTTATCATATTTGTTTCGTTCGATTTGTTTTTTGTTTTGTTTTTGATGATAGTAAACTGTCAGTATTATGAATATAGAAATGGTCAAAAAAAAATCGGCTAAAAAAATCCCAAAAAGAGCAGGGGGTTGGGAACGTGACACGTAGGGTTTACTCCCACCCCAACGCCCAGTGGCCACTAATCTCCACGCCATCCGTCGGTCATGTTTCCACCCCTCAACTACATCAAAGCGTCCCCTCTCTTTTCTTTGACTTCTTTCTCCCAAGTCCCAAGGATGTTTTTTTCCCAAGAAAAGTTTAATTAAAACATTCATAAATAAAAAAATCATTATAAAATCTAAAAAATATATAATTATTAAAAAAAATCTCATAAACAATAAACAACATATAATAACAAAAGTCCATGCAGCTCCTTTATTATTAAGACTTTTTTATGATAACATTCATTCCTTAGAACTCATAGCAATTTTTCTAAGAAAATTTTGATAAGAGTTCAACGACTACGGCACAAGATAAATAAACAAAAGCAGGTCAATTGCAAAGTAAAAGACATTAAAGGCAGCATAATAAAAATAGTAATAACGGTAAGGCACGAGTTTTATACATTCAGCAGATTTTTTCCCCAAAAAAAAAAAAGCAACCCCCTTCATTTGCTACGCATAGGTATCATCATATTAGGACAATCTTATTTAAGATACTATTAAATATTAAATGTGCATATTATTTTTAGTAGAGATTTGAATATTTATTTGTTACGTTGTGAGAGACTAGACTCAATATTTTTTAATAAAAATCAACCACGTTATGAATGAAGAGCACGTACGAAGTCATCGCATCGTATCTGGTCCGAATGAAATCCGTAGGTCACAGGATATCCGCGCCCGTATCATCAAGAGGGGACAGCGATTGGTTGAGACCTCAATGGGAGGTACTTCTGGAAGGAAATGAAGAAATCCATCTTTGCTAACACCCTCTTTAAAACTAGTACTAACGTTTAATCTGATTCCGTGAGTCCGTGGATACAAACAAGTCTTGGTTCGCCATAATTGTCTCCTTCTAGACTTTCCTCATTTCAAATATTCTTCTCACCATTCTATAGCGGTCACTTTCCCCCGTAATGAGGCTGACTTAATTTATTTAATGAATCGCCCCTTGTGTGTCTGATGAATAGCACAGTTATCTTTGCCCACATTTTGGTCTCCTTATCAACTCATACCAATTATTCCATGCGATTCTAAATATAAATCTCATTTTATAGCATATAATTACACTATAAAATAAGATTTATATTTAGGTACACTATAAAATGAGACTTATATTTAGGATCGGAATAATATATTATATACTCAATTTTGACACGAGTTAGTGCATTTTCATGGGGCTAATTATAGTACATTTCCTTCACTTGCTAGGGCTAAATATTACTCCCTCTGTTTCTTATTATAAAAGATAAATAACCAAATTACGTTAATAAAAAAAAACAGTTAAAATTAGTTGAGGACAATTAATGTGTAAAAAGTATAATATTTTTTCTAACAATGCCCCCGTTAATAAGGAGAGAGAGTATGAGAGAAAACAATCAAATTATTAAAAGAAAGAGAAGTGGGAGGGAGGGAGAGTATGAGTTGGAGACAAAATAAATAGGGGTAAAATAGGAAATCAATATAAAAAAAAAAAGACAACTTTTAAGTGCCTCATATATAGAAACATATCATAAGCATTAAATGTCTTTTATAATAAGAAACGGAGGGAGTATCAAATAGTTACACTGATAGGATGATTTGATGGTCCCATTATGGTGTTAAAAACCTATTAGCTTAGCTGGACTCATATTAAGGCTCTCCCGAAAAGAGAGATCGTGGATTTGCTTATAACATTAGACTATCAGTGGCTATCCTTGTAATTTCTGACAAAAATACAGGTTATAACTATATGGAATTTATAATCATATTGATAATCTTTAATACACCGTAGAGAATGAGAGATTGAGAGGTATTAATTATTATTCATAAAATATATCCTTACTTATATATTTAAATCTCTTTCGAACTTTTTTTTCATTCATGAAAGAATACATTTATATCGGAATTATCAACTCTCTTTTTTTAAAAAAATTTTGCCATTATAAAATTTTTTAATATTTTATCTTTTTAAAGTTTATATTATAATTTTTTAATATGCTCTTCAAAAGATGATGCAAATTATTCTTCAAATAAAAAAATTATAATTTATTAAAAATGATTATATTTTTTTGTTTCGAAATAGTAGTACCATGATGAAAAGAAATCTAGGCGTCAAGTTGGACAGCGCATTCTCTTCCAATCTTTTGTATACGCAAAGTAATTAAAAAAAGAAGACAAACAAACAAACCTGTCGCTCCATCATTGGAAGTGGTCGAGATCCATAAAAGATATTTGGGCCCAAAAGACAGAGCACGCCTTAATTCATCCTCATCGTATCTGGTCCGAAACATCAAGCCCAGCGTTGCGTCATCGTGTTTTCTTTTTTTGTGAAGAAAGGGTAATTTGGGAATATCAGAAAGTCCATGAGATAAATTAGCCACAGAATTTGACTCCCCTCCAAATTCCAAATTCCTAATTCGTTCTATCTGAAATCTGAATGGAAAATTTGCCCGCCCTTCCAATTTCCATCCAATCTTTCCAACCAGACAACGTCACCGGCGCTCCTCCCAAAAAGGTGAAAACCCTAACAAAACGATGCGCAAAGGTTGCATTCAATTGAACGGAGCCATGCCAACATCCCGCTTAACCATGTTATGAACTTATGATATAAATGGATTGAAAAGAAAAACTATTATATGCCTTAATTTTCTTTTAATTTATTACCGGTGATTATGTCAAATTAATTCGTCAACTGTACTATTATTCACGACTGGAAGCCGAAGAAGAAAAGCTTATTCCTAATTCATATGACCCTCCGTTCTCAAATGACGCCTGATGCTGAAAATTCATTATTAGATGAAAAGAAAAGTTATATACAAACAAGGGTTTGCGGAAGAGAGACAAGGAATTAATCCCTGAGGCTCATCCAATTCAGTTCAGACTCGTGAATATCCAGGCGATAGAAAACAGGGCGAACATACATGGGGGGAAAAAAACGATCATTGTAGTAACGACAGATAAGGCAGACCGGAAATAACGTCAGGAAGCATGGGCATTAGGCGGTGGCATCTCCAGCAGGGGAAGGGGCGGCGGCATCTCCGCCAGAGGGAGGGGCTTCGTCATCGGGGTCACGATTCGAGTCAGACTTGTCAATCGCAGCACGGGACTGTTGAAGGAAGGGCTTGAGAGCGATCTCAATGGCCAGCCACACGCAGGCAAGGCCTCCCACCACCACCAAAGCTTGCTTTGCCCCGCTCCCTCCTTTCTTTCCCATTCCTGTTTCCTCCTTTCGACCTTTTCTACCTGGCGATGATAGATATCAATGTATATTTTATATTTTATTTATTTTATTATGTGGACCATGTGGGCTCGTGTTCCGGCTATAGATAAAATCTTAGCGGGCAAGGAATGGTCCGAACAAATCTTTATGGAAAAACATGAACGGCAGAGACGTGGGTCCTGCGTCTGACTTGAGACCTTATCGGACGGTTGACAGTACGTTTCCTATTTACTTATTCAAGTAGTTTAGGCTCATTCCACTTTTCCAAATGCATCTTTTATTGGTTATAGTTATTTTTTTTATTACTTCCGGTGATAAATAATTAATTTAAAAAGATTTAGAAATGTAGTTATATTAATTATTTATCATATATGTTTACGGGTTGTTTCATTATATTCTATTTAGTCATTGGTATGGAAATTATCTTGATCGGTTGATGAAAACCTCTCTTAACATCTGCAACTAATGAAAAAATTATAAATTTACGAGATAAATATTGAAATCTTATCTTTGAGAGAAAAACAAATTTGGCAAATTTAGTGTAGGCTATTATTCCCCTCCTCGATCAGTCAAGAATCCAGCAGGAAACAGCCGAACATGTTCTTGCTCTTTATACTCTGTACATACAGAGTGTGGTATGACTGTCCTTTTGGGGAACGAATTGTTAAAAGGGAATTAATTTAAGGATTGGAACCTTGGTGTGGGGACACGATAAATGTTGAAAGCAAGGCTGTGATGAGAAGGCTTTTACAACTAATGTATAATGGAACATATGGAAATTAAAGAGAGATCGATGTGAATTTGCGTTCTTTAATCATATTGGATATTAGGAGTCTTGTGAACTTAGGGGCTGAATTGTGGGGTGTACTAAAGGAAACAAGTAACAGCGAGACTGAAATTTCTGCAGAAGTGATGAAGCACTGTAAAAGATTAATCTGGTCAGAAATTCACAAGGAATTTTCCTGGATGGTTAAGCCTGGCAGAATATATGCTCCCATCCCCCTTTTATGCCTGAACCTGAAGGTTAATTAATGGTCCCTTCATCTGGCAATATATTAGTTATGTGATTATTGAGACCAATATAATTGTGCTAAGTAGTTAATTACTTGTTTGTGTAATCTTCGTGACTTGGTGTGGCTATTTTTGCAGTGTTCTGTTGTTCCCTGTGTGTAAGGTTTTATCAGCTTCGTGTGTAAGCGTGAGTTCTGTATAATTGTCTATTAGTTTTCAGGTAAATCTCACACTGTTGTGCCACTATTCGTAGTTACTCTTCCGGTCTTTAATATAAGACCCATTTAACTAATTTGATTAGAGTAAGGAAATTAGGTAAGTTAGTTAATTAGAAGAAAAGTGACATATTTTTCCTAAAACAGCATAATCATTTTTCTTAATATTCCATTTCCCTCTTTTACTTGATTATGGTTGAGGGAGTATCTATAGAGGTAATTTAGAGAAAATTGATAAATATAAAAAATGAGTTTTATATTTAGAACCAAAACTAACTCAAGAATTGAGTCATATATTAAGGAAGGACCGGAGAAGTATTATTTATTGTTTACCATTAACCTTCAAATTTTATACTCGAGAGTTTAGCATGACATGCATCATAGTTGCTAGCAGCAACGGCAATTATCCACACTCCTATCATCTAGCTAACCATATCTCACGAGTGATCAACAATAGCACTTTTTCATGAACAAAAGTACCGTTCTTTAGCTCGATTGGTAAAACGTTTTTCCTTTAGCTAACAAAATCAAAGTAGTAGTACTTGCTCCAAAAGGGGAGAATTTTAAAGGGAGACCAGGAGCTTCATCATGAAAGGGAAGTAGAAGACGAGCCAAACCTTCAAGGCACCCCGCGCGCGCATGGGAAAGGAGCGGGAGAGTCAGAGACTTGAGCTCAGAGGGAATCAAACGACCGCGTTTAATGTACTCCTGTAGTCCTGTCCCGGGGAGGAGGACGAGAAGAAACGCACCGCTTTATGTGCACTGTGGAGAAAAAGAAGCGTTTTTTGTCAGCCAAAAAAAAGAAAGAAAATGACTATTTTGAAAGGAGCAGGGTCGGCCAAAGTCGGCTGTCGCGAGCGCGGAACGCCAGATCTTATAACTATTGCACTTTCAATAGTCTTCATTCGGTTCTCTCTCTCTCTCCGTCGTCCCCTGAACCTAAACCCCTAATCGTATTTTCGGTCGCATCACTTTATCCTCTGTTTCCATCCGAAGCTGTTGTGAAACTTATGACATGGTAAACACCTCGTTTTGGAAAGCATAAACTTTTCGATGTCATTCATGTTTTCAGGTGCTGCTTCAATCCAGGTTGACGAAAAGAGTTTCGTCATGGGCCAAAAATTAAGTTAATTCACTGGGAAAGATTTTTTTTTGTTTTTTGGGGTGACTTCTTTTGATCCTTATTGAGAGATTTTAACATTTGTAAAATTAACTACCGATATTCCATTTTTAGTGGCATCCCAAAATTTTACTAATCTTCCAGTTACAGAAGCTTTGCTGATGTCTTTCTTTTGGCCACTTGTCATTGGTTTAACACGAGCTGGGTCTGATGTTTGCTAGAGTGGTTTTTTTCCTCATGACCAACTTTAGAGACTATTCTTTCCATCTTGAACCATTGTAGCTTGTCTATAAATGCATTGGATTTCTTCATTTTAGTTAGGGTAAAAGCATGTCTGTACATGTATCAATTAACTCCCCTATGCATTAACGCACAATTTTCCTATGCTTGGAAACATTAATATTGCTCTTGTTTTCCCCCCTTTCCTGGCAATAGCCTTTTTCCCCCTTCCAGAACAGTAATGGGGAATTGTTATCTCTTGTCAAGAAAGATTTTTGTGCTTTGTTGCTTATCATGTCTTATTTATATATTAGAATAGTGAAGAGACGCGCAGAGATTTAAAAAGAAAGTTCCCGCATGTGGACCGGTTGCAAGAGCATGGATCATATGATAGACTTCCTCCTGGTTGGTACCTTCAACATGTACTGACTTAATTATTAATATTAATATTGATGAATATTATAGGATAATGGGATATTGCACTGCAGTGAAATCATTTTTTTCTTCTTTTCCTCTTTCCATTCTTTTTCCCCCCTCTTCAAACTCGTAATAACAAGAATATAAGTATGCTGTCCTTCGCTATCTCATTTTCAATCCGCAGGTTGGTTGGACTGCCCGGCGTATGGTCAAGATATAGGATGCATAATCCCTTCAAAAGTTCCGCTCGGTGAATCCTTTGATGATATCGTTCCAAGTCAAAAATATTCTCCCAAGCAAGCAATTTTTCAGCAAAGACAATTAGGTAGAGAAGTAAGTATGCCAAAATCATGGGGGGTAGCCCTTTCTCAACTTGAGTTAAAGACGTAGAAGTAGGATATATTATTAGTATTTAATGTTTGAACTACTTCTCATGTGGTAAAAGTTGAATTTAAAAAATAAATACTGAATGAAGGGGCAAAGTTTGCAATCCAGTGGGCCTTATATGCATGCTAACTCTTACCAAGTAGCTGCTAAAGGTTGATGGATTAAGATGATGATTTTTAGTGATTCAGAAGTACCTATCACTTCTTCATCTTGTCCCTTGCATGAGATGTCTGAATACTTCCTGATTTTCATAACTTAGGCATTAGGTTTTCCAGCTTGATGTTCCTTGACTTTGTCAATTTTTCAGGTTGGTCTAGTAATTGATTTGACAAATACTACTCGTTACTACTCAATATCAGATTGGACCAAAGAAAGGATTCGTCATGTCAAGGTGGGACACAGTTTTTTATACTATTGATTTGGGAGAAGTTTATTAGAAGTTGTTTTTCTGTTCTCTGACTTGCTCAACAAACATGATAGATAAGATGCAAAGGAAGAGATTCCGTGCCTGATGATGAATCTGTAAACAGATTTTGCAATGAAGTAAGTTTTCTTTTGTAGCATTGATTTGTGGCAGTGGTACAATTCACGGATTCTACTCTGAAGCACTGTTTCCTTTGACTGTCACAAAAGCTACCTGTTCTTGCTGATTCTTCGCTTGATGTTTTGTAATTTACACTTGTTACACTTGTTTTTTAGGTCGTGGATTTTCTCTCCCAAAGAGCGAACAGAAACAAATATATACTTGTGCATTGCACTCATGGGCACAATCGCACTGGTTATATGATTGTTCATTTTCTTGTGCGTACAGAATCAATTTCAGTCACTGAGGTAAGCAAAACCTTGGGTGTTTTCAAGTTTGTTTGCTGTAGCTGCTCGCCCCAAATAATTTATTTCCGGACATCATGTGCTGTTATTTTCCAGGCTATAAATAAATTTGCGATGGCACGTCACCCTGGAATTTACAAGCAGGATTATATTGATGCCTTGTACATGTTTTATCATGAAAGGAAGCCTGAAGAAGTTGTTTGTCCTAAAACTCCAGAGTGGAAAAGACTTTCTGATCCACAGTTTCCTGGTGCAGTTGACCCACCTGTAGAAAGTATTGGAGGTGTTCCTTTGCATGTATGTGTTTAAACTTTCTTGTGAGCATGATTTCTCTCGGGGATATAATTTGTTGAATTGGTGCCGCTTGATTTTTTTCTGGTTGCCTGGAGGCATATTATTATCCACCAATTTGTATTTGCATTAATGTGCAGGTTGTGTTAAAGAATTTCTGATATGGAATGATAATAGGATTATCTGTACTCTATATATTTTATCATATTACTTCTGGTGTTCTTAATTATTATGCCTGGTCAAATTCTTAAGTCACACTTGTTATTAACCATGAAACTTACATCAGCTATCAATAATACCTTAATTTATTGCTTTTGCTATCATAACTATGTGCATATATTGACCTTCCTAAAATTTCCTGAAATTCCAGGAGAATATCATAAGGAATGAAGTATTGACAAACGATGATGTTTTGGGAGATCCTGTACCTTCAAGTCAACTGCATTCAATGCGAGTAGAGTGTTACCAACTACTTAAGCTGGGCAAAGGGGTGGGCACCACAAGCACGTTCTGATTTTTGTGCATCTTCTTGATTCATGAATATGATCTGACATATTTTGGGGAATTAAGTTTTAATGGAGGTTATGCTTATTATTAAGGAACCATGTAAACTATTCTTGTGTTTTAAGTTCCTCGGTGTTGCTTGCTTCTTACTTACTGATTTTTTTTTTTTTAAAATGATCTTTCTTATTCGACTTGATTGGATGATTACTGCACTTCTCTCATAGCAGACACCAGTTATGTTATATGATTTTGATCAACATATCTGGAAGGCAAAAAATAGTTATTAATATTTTCATTATGCAACATCCTAATGAACTAGATTCTTAAGCTCTTTTATGCAGAGGAGGTTCTTTTTGATAAAAACATTCTACCCATTTACTGAAAAGAAGAAAATATGACAATTAATTGGAAATGGATGATCAGATCAAACATTGTAATGACTATGGATTTATTTTTTTCACAATTTTGGTTGTCCCATTGCTTGTAGCTTCTGGTCCATTTGCCATTCTTTACATTGTCATTTTCTTTTTCTTGATAATAGCTGAAATTATTTTTTTCAATGAATAGTTATTAGATTTGTCTTTGTATGTTTCTAAGTAATTTTTTCCCCACACAATCTTGTATCATCAGTTCCTTCCCCTTTTTTCCTTCGATTCCCGGTTTTGTTATTATTTCTATCATGATTAACACGAGTTTTCTCTAATAATTCTTTTTCCTGATGTTTAGGGAAGGGGATCTTTGCAGTTTCCAGGATCACATCCTGTTTCCCTCAACAGGTTCAGTATAGCTTCATTTTATGTCAGAACTTGTGCTTTTTCAGTGTAGTAAAAACTATACCGAACTTATGATGGACTAAACTATCTTTTCAGAGAAAATGATCAGGTTGATTTTAATAACTTCTCCTAGTCTAAATCTGACTGTTCTTAATCATCAGTATGCTGTTGTTTGCAAAGTGTTCAATTATACATTGGACCAGATCATTTTGTGATGCTTATGAAATTTGCTTGCCGTCTTTTGCAGAATTGCGTGATTGAAATGACTGTCTGGCATTGTATTTACTACACTTATAATTTCGGACTGTTCTCTTTTGGGGACTTCATGTTTTAAATCTCCACGATTGATTCTTGATGGGAGGAGGAATAAAATCTGTAACGGATACATCTGGAAAATCATTTGGGTCCAAGATCATAAGCTGATAGGAATTTTGATACTAATATTCAGAAGGTTTACACTCGACTAAATTGATATTCTTCAAATGTAAACCTACCGTAGCCCCACGATTTAAAATGGTTATAACTCTCAACAGAAACAACAATATGAGTAAAGGATCTCGCCAAGGTGGAGTTTTCAATTTTTGTGCCCAGAAGTCGGCAAAAATTTGTACTTTTATATTGTATAGACTTCCAGTATGTTAACTTTTGGGAATGAATCAACGTGGTTGTCAAAACTGAAAATATGGATTCGAAATATTAAAACATTCACTTCTATCTTTGAATGCTGGGATTTCAAACTGCTTTTCAATTTAAATTTTTCTCCCACTAAGCTGATGGGGATGATGTTTTTCTGAGATAAATAAAAGGGATCTTTTCTGTTCAATTTTGAGATTAAAATTTTTTTCCTCTGAAATGAGTAACAGTAACATAAGTTCAGCAGCGCTCATTAGCGTTGGTCCTGTCAATTAAGATAGCAATTTATATTTTTCACTTTTCCAGGGACAATCTACAACTCTTAAGACAGCGGTATTACTATGCCACGTGGAAGGCTGATGGGACCCGCTATATGATGTTGATCACCTGGGATGGATGTTATTTGATTGACAGAAAATTTCATTTTCGAAAGGTTCATATGCGTTTTCCCTGCAGATATTTGAATGGGGTATGTATTGCCATTTAAATTTAAAGTCGTTGCTAAGCAAGGTATTTATGCCTGGACATAAGGAAATTTATGGCTGCTTATCAAGTTCTATTTTGGATTTTTAATCAGCGACTCCTAATGTTTTCTTAACACAACCTATTCAAGGGTACACCTGAAAGGAATCACCACTACACGTTACTTGATGGCGAGATGATAATTGACATGGATCCACATACACAAAAGCAGGAGAGAAGATACCTTATTTATGATCTGATGGCTATTAATCGAGTTTCCGTGACTGAGGTGCATATTCATTTCTATGACTTGTTGGTTACGTGATCCCATACAGCATACCTATAGAAATTATTGTGAATCCCCATATTGTTGGCAAAAATATATCACATTGCACGGGTGTTCAAGTTTGTAACGTATTTAAATCTTTCATGGATTTGACTTGGAAATAAAAGTTAGCAAACATTTTAGCCGGGTTTTCAACAAGTCTAATTGTAGGGCTCTAAGTCTGACTGAAGTTCTGTAACTAGGATGATGAGTAATTCATATCTATGGTTCTTACTAAGCATTGCAATGATGTAATAATCATCGGAGCTGTTGTTCTGTTATTTTGTATCACTAATAATTATATCAAGATATTAGTCAAGATCTATTGTAATTTTTACTTTATGGTCTTTCAAAGTGCTAACTGAATTATAGCTTCAATATTATTTTCTCATAACCTTTAAAACTGAATAATGACCTCTCTTGTCCTTTAAACCAATTTCATAGATAATCATACTGTTAGTTCATTTTTCACTAACGGAGGTGCGACGTATAAGGGGTTTTCTACATAAAACCTCAAGTCTACGAGGATGATGTGCACATAATTTAAAATTTTAACAGAGTTATTTGTTAAAATTGTGGACGTTCTTTTCAGTGGAATAATGTTTCTGTTCGTGAAATAATGAACTGAGTGTAAGGAGATCATTTGCATAACTTTAATATCTTAGAAGTATAAGGGTTCATTATTAAGTTGTGAAAATCGAGTTATTTGCACGTGATTCAAACTTCACTGGAGTTCTATGCAATTTAATAAAAAATTATTGTATAAATTTATCTTGGCAAGCATCTTCAGTGATGTTTACGCATTTTGTTTGAAGACTGATCAAGGTTTTTTTTTTTTTTTTTTTTTGGCTTTAAATATATGCAGCTGCCTTTCTATGAACGTTGGAAATTGCTAGAGAAAGAAGTGATTGAGCCTCGTAACATGGAACGTGAGGCTCTTTGCAAGAGTATAAATCCTTATTATCGATATGACTTGGAGCCGTTTAGTGTATGTCTGGTGATATTTACTGTTTAATTCTGTAGAGCTTTTATCTTGTTCTGGTGGGATTAGTTAATTGCCTATATATATAATTTATTTTTGTTTTCAGGTGAGGAGGAAGGGTTTTTGGTTACTGTCCACTGTTTCAAAGCTTCTCAATAAATTCATTCCGCAACTGTCCCATCCATCAGATGGTCTTGTGTTCCAGGTAATTTGGCCCTCTTGAAAACTGGGTTGGACAAGTGAAATGGAGCTACCTTCCTGGATAAGATGGACGAAGTAAATAAATGCTAGGTTTATGTGTTCCGTGGATATAGGAAAACGGCAGTTCTTTGCTAATAATTTACTGATGTGATGCTCCAGTAAAACAAATCTGATCTGCCCAAATGTTTCCGTGGTTCTTAGTTTACCATTGGTGGCAGTATTAAGTAATCCAATAATAAATGCATAGATTGCGCCTTGTGTAACAACTTGTTGGTGGATGTTTTTACTCTGTCAGGGCTGGGATGATCCTTACGTCCCTCGAACACACGAAGGTCTTCTGAAGTGGAAATACCCTGAAATGAACTCAGTTGATTTCCTCTTTGAGGTAGTATTATGAGCTTTAGTCTAGGAATTGATTCAGTCCCATTTATAACCTAAACACACAAATATTTGATGAATGTTCACAGTTGGGACCAGCTGGTCGTTGCCTGCTCTTTCTTCATGAACGTGGAAAGAAGAAGTTGATGGAAGGGTGTAGGGTGTTTTTCAAAGGTAGAAACTTGAAATCCCTCACGCTATCTATAATCATCATCATTATTAACATCGCTGCTGATATGATTAATGTTTTCATTTACAGATGTATCAGATACATCTTCTTATTCAGGGAAAATCATTGAATGCTACTGGGATCCTGAGGAGAATCATTGGGTCTGCATGCGGACAAGGACTGACAAATCAACTCCAAATGAGATCAATACCTATAGAAAGGTTCTTTCTCAGATATCTTTCACTCTTATACTTTCTGTTGTCTGTTGATTTCATTAATATGAAAAACCCTGTATTTTTGTGTAATGTGGGGTTCAGGTAATGCGAAGCATAAGGGATAACATCACAGAAGAAGTTGTATTGAATGAGATAAATGAGATCATACGCCTTCCCTTGTATGCTGACAGAATACAAAGGGATATAAAGGCTCACCAACAGATAGTCTCTGCAAGGCGAAGGTGAGGGGGAAGCAATCAATGACGCTAAACATGTCTTTTCTGAAGGAATAGTGCCTCAGGAGAGACGTTGAGTTTCTCTTGGTTACTGTGGATTGGTGTATAAAATATAATACACACTCGCACAGGAGATTTTACCCTAGATCCGTGACGCCCTGTATATTAGTTTTTTCTTCCTCTTTTTTTTTTTTTTCCCCCTGGGGTCTATTTGATTCATTTTCCCCCATGCAGCATTGATCACGAGTTTTCAAGATCATGCTGGGAAAAAGCTTAACAAAACAGCCTTAATAAGGATATATAGAAACTTATTATTTGATATATTGACATTTTTTTGGCCGGGTGATTTATTTGACATGTTAGGCTCCCTCTGTTTTAGATTGATTTTATCAGACCTCTATTTAAGATTTTATAGTCCTCAAACTGGGGGGAAGTATATCCTTTCTCCGATCTGAGAAATTATGTTACATTTTCATGCAAAATCAAACAAACATAATCATGAGTCACAGAAACATTAGGGGAGAATAAGGAATCTTAAAATAAAGGGACTCATTATTGTCATTGTTATCTTAATTTCAATGTAAATTTATAAACCGAAATTGCAATATCCACGGCCTAACGCCCTAACCTAACGAGGATCTGTTGGCAACGAAAAAGAAAAAGTAACGAAGATCTAGCGCTTTGTGCCGCAAGAAAGTATTTTCTCAATCCGCAACATCAATGATGATTCCAAACTCAATTCGAAGGATACATTAAAAAAAAAAATCAAATTGATTAAGACGTTTAACTGTTTAGTTTTTCTCCCCCATATATTGCCTTTTATTGGTTAGTGACTTAGTGTAACTATAAAAGTTACCTGAAATTGTGATTAGTGTAACTATATTGCCTTTTCTTGTGATCATGGTTATTTGATACTATTTATTTTTGTCATTGACAAATATTCTTTTGTCCTTGGAGTCATGTTACAAACATATTTCGTCTACACAAAACATGAAGATGCTATATTTAAATTTTTTGCCTTTTATCCATTTATATTAATTATAATTCACATAAATAATCAATTACTTGGAACACAGTCCAATTCACGAACCAATATTTTTTTAAAGCAGGCGAAAATAGTGTCATCAAAATCAGTTCATGTGAAACTCGAACTAAATTTAATTTGGAATAGTATTGAAATTTAAAGTTTTTATTCATAAATTTTTGGGATAAGGTGTTTAAATACTTTGAAATTATTCATGAAGGAACACCAAATACCTGAATTTTTTTTTCTCTTATATGCCCTAAAAGTTTATTCTAGTAACAAAAATACTCTAATCGTTATCTACTATTAAGTTTGACTGTTAAATCATGTAGTTTAATTAGTGTTTTTAACGGTGGATGACGGTTTAGAATAAAAGTACTATGAAATAAAACTTTCAGATATATAAGAGCAAAAAAAAACTTTCAAGTGTTAAGTGTTTCTTCATGAATACTTCCGCACCTTATCCCTAAATTTTTTGAGTAAAAAATTAATTTTTTTTTACAAAAAGCAATTCTTAGAAATTATTTTTATTGTACATTCTGGGTTTATTAAAAATAAAATAATATTAATGATGAGCTCTCATGAGGATTGGAATTCAATTTAGACTAGAAGTCAGATGTCCGCTGGGGAACATATGAAAAAATAGGAAATCTGCTTAAGATTATTGTTCTATGTCGTTTGAGTCCTCGTTCCTTTACATTACGGTCATATTAATCCGATCATTACTAGGAAAGGCCCTTTTTATCGAACCTCAAACTCTAAATTATAAATCCTTGTTGTGGGGCCAAGGCAAGGCAACGGTCTAAATAGTGCCCCTAAGGTTCCCAGCTGGTTTAGAGTCTTCACCTTCACCGCCAATGGCGACTCCAAGCTCGGAATCGCGTGGAGGCGGGGGAAAAAGGAAGAGAATTGGTGATGGAGTTCAAGTCTTGAACTCCAAGAAGAGAAAAAAAACCTTGTTCAGAAAATGTGATGAGCTCACGGTGAAGAGCGACGTTGACGTTAGTTTGGTGTGCATTGGGAATGACGGAGAAATTGAGGCATGGCCAAATCATGAGAAAGTGAAGGCCATGCTCACGAAGCACAGAGAGAAGCAAGCTGAGAAGAAAAATAAGAAGGATAAGTACTCACACGGGTCCGCATCAGAGGGAAATAAGCTTTCTGCAGAGTCACTGATGACTCTTTTGAGGGAAATAGACTCGAAACTGGAAGCCCTGGACGAGAAAATCAAGATGCTGAGTATCCAAAAAGCCACTGGTTTCTGTGCCTGTGAGAATAATTCTGGGAGTTTCATGGAGGTTTTTGACTGGCATGATCTGTCAACGAACAAGATAGAATCGTACGGCCAACCAAGCATTTCCTCTGCACAACTAAATCAACCAACCCAATTTACAGGGGACTCGATGGTTGTTTTTGCTAATAAAGATTATTCATTTATCAGCAGTTTTGGCACCCAGGGTCGGTGGGTCCCGCTGAATACTGATAATTTTGCACTGAACCCTATTTGGGAGCCACAAATAGAATTGCCTGGGGCACAAGACTCGGCGCTGAATGGGCAACATGATATTGGAGCATTGCAGAATTACTATATGGGAAGCGATTGGAATCGCCTGCCTCGGTTGTGAAAGGAATTCCACTGATTCCATCTTAGAGTTGGGACGATGAAGCTGATATCTAGCATCAATTTTCAGAGCCTTTCTGTAATTGTTCAAGTGCGATGAAAACTTCAAGCTGTACAGAGTAAAAGGTATAGTTTTTTTGTTCAAGTTTTGGACAGTTTTGTTGATGGTTGACATCTACTGTGTCGGTTAGAAATTGAAGCATATGGAGGAGAATTTCATGGGAACGCATATTGGATTGCTCTAGTTCAGCTGAATCAATAAATTTGAGTTGTCACTTGTTATATTCTGTGTTTTGTTTTTCCCATCTTTCGTTGGTATGTCAAATTACAAATTATATTAATCACCATGGTCAATATGACTGATTATAGCTCCTGATGGGGTCACCTCAAGAGTTCACCTGGGGAATCTCAGTGAATTATTTTTCCTTTGTCCAATCTAACTATGTTTATGCCCAGACATGAAGCATCCCATTATGATGCGAAATCTGATTAAATAAGTATTTCTTACATCCAATCCAACGATCTTCTGAGATCCGTAACAGAGAGAAAAATAGGTAAGATCATGATTTGATTGGATTCTTTTTCCCATTATTTAGGATCCTCACATACATGCGTGCGTGCATATGATATGAGCGCGCGCACATATATTTCCTACCACCAAATTAATCAGTTGTAGGAAGTCATAAAAACTTAGAAGGGTCATAATTATGTTCATTAATTGAGATTATATGAAGTAGATATGCTGGTCTGCATAGGTGGTGAAAATAGAACTTGAGTGGGACGCCAAAATAAGGAAAGTACTAAATGTGGTTTTTTACTCTTTACTTTAGCCCTCATGTACTGGAGTGTTTCCGTTTATCTTCACCATGAAATAAATAGGACATAGTAACAAATTTACTGCATTCAAACTCAGTGTCAATACAAGGTACTCCTCCGGTCCTTATTATAAGACCCAATTTGACTTTTTATTTGGTCCTAATTATAAGACCCAATCCATTTTGTCTCTTATATTTATGCATTTTTTTCCAAGATAATCCTTCTAATAATGATAGTTTTAGCCAATATACTTAATTAGCAAGGATATTTTAGGAATGACAACATTTATTTATTATAATAACCAACTTAACTTACTTCCTTAATCTCCTCAAATAAGTCAATTGGGTCTTATAATTAGGACCGGAGGAGTATTTAAGTAGAGAACCATCCACATGCACACGGATAAAAGACGGGGGGAAATGCAAATCAATACTTCCTCCTGTACTTATTATTGAAATAATTAATTTGAGCATAAAGAAAAATAAGCTAAAATTAGTTAAAAGTAGTAAACAAATGGACAAGAAATATATTTTTATTTTCAAATATATCATTATAATAAATGATAAAAAATATATAGAGAAATGTAATGAAAGAGATGGTGGCAAAAGAAATAGAATAAATAATTAATACCAAAATTAGAAAAAAAAATTGCATTAAATGTTGAGACATACAAACTGAACTTATAAAATAGACCATGCCCTTCTTCAAATCTTCTCCGAATTTACAGTTTATAAATAAAATAGGAATCAGCATTTGGGAAAACAGAGGGTACCACCTGCTGCTGTTATGAAAGAGGGATTCACTCCCTTTCTGATTGGGTAGATGAGGCTACAAGAATTTTCAGAGCCTTTGATTAATTATTTTGTTTAACGGCAATGGAATTTTCAGGTCACTAGGCAAAATCTATTATCTATTAATATAATCAAAATTTATTTTTGTGACTAGGATTTATGGGCTTGTGGATTGTATTTTTCTAAAATCAAAATCACTAAATTTGAAACTTACCTGCAGCAGCATAGACCTGAGTCTCATGCATGCACCCACACCTTCTCACTTCCTAGTCCCTCTTCTTCCCCGGACTCCATCCTCACTGCAACTTGAACACACTCTCGTGCTCACATAAGTAAAGTTCGGGTTACCACATCATTTCAAACTCGTGTAAATTAAAACTCAATGCAGGTCATACTAATAAGGTGGTTAGCTTATGCACTAGTAAATTATGGGGAAACGGCCCCGTTCATTCGTAATGATAGAGATTTTATGAAACCAGTTTCCGTGCTTATATTCTAAATTTATCATGTCTATACCATCTATATCTGATTTAAACGGTTTAGATTTAAAATTTTTAATTAATTATTTTAAATAAGAAAATTTTTTTAAAAAAATAATAGTATAGAGATTATTTCTATTTTAGATTCTATATATATTAAAATAATTATTTTAAACAAATAAAAATTAAAAAAAATCAAATCCAAACCATCTAAATAAAATATGAACGATTCAGATATGATAAGCTTGGAGTGCTCATCAAAGCAAAACTGACTCCTTAATAGATTTTATAAATATGAGGAATAGATAAAAATACAAGTTCACTATGAAAAATTTAAGCAATTAAAATCGACTAAGGACCTGTTTGGATAGCAGGCTAAACTATGGTTTGGGAAAAAAAAATACCCAAATAGACACAAATTATTTGAAACCATGGTTTGGGTTAAAACTATAGTTTTGGAACCCAAAACCATGGTTTCGGGAGAAATAAATCCATTCTATTTCTGACTTAAATTGGAGAGTATGATTATACCTATTAGAATAAATCTCAACAATAATATGACTTTAACACCCCTTAATTAATTTTTTATAAACATATTTAATCTTATATCTTATAAATAAATATACACATTTATTATTTATTAATTACATTATCTTATGTATTACTAATTATGTTAGAAAAAATATATTATTAACAATTTTATTCCTTCAAATTAAAATATATCATACAATCTATGTTTTGTGTAATTATTATATTAACTTATGCTTTTTTTAATAATTTGTACAGATAAAAAATATTTCTGATAACAACTATCCAAACACTCTCACTTCTCAGAATCACTTTTTTACAAAATCTATTGAATCTATTCTTCAGAAGCTAAAACCATAGTTTGGTTTCTCCAAATACCTCCTAAATTAAATATAAATCTGAATGTAAATCGGAAACTGGCTACCTCCCCTTTCTCCCCCTCCTTTTGCTGCACTTCCAGGGGCAAGGGAGAGGGTGTCAGTACTTTGGATGACGCAGCAAACTAAGCAGACGTAAACATCGTTTCAACTACCTGGGACATCTATAAATAGCTTGTTTCGTAAGCTTCCCTGATCCAACAATCAACTGCTGTTGTTGACTGATTATATCAAGGCTGGATAAATAGTATACAGGTACACCAATTGAATTGCAATGTTACATAGAAACAACACTGAATAAATCACAATGAGGTATAATGGGCAGCTTTTTATATATGTACAGCATCATCTCTGCCTCAACCTACCTCGTGCAGTTACCAACTTCCTTCCTTGGACATTTTGAGGAAGTGGGAAAGAGTGATATTTGGAAGCACTGGAGAACCCTTTTTCTTCTTCTTTATCATTGTCACCTTCGAAGCCTCCATTCCATTTCCTTCTGTCACTGTAACGGAGTCTAAGTTGTAGAACTGTATACAGAAAATCCCCACAAATTATACACTTTCAAGCAAAAGCACAAGATTCTCTAATTATATTAGTATTAGTTTGCAGGGCTATAAGTATAGAACGTTGCTTTGATGTTCACGTTTTCACTCCAAACCCGAGGATGAGCTGGCTTCTTATTCAGAGTTGATCAGCATTTTTCTTGATATTAGCATGGAACAGAATATCCAATTTTAAGAGAGCCGCATTGCCTAGATACCTCACAGACGCCATGTAGCAGTAATCTATGAAAAGGATCTTCTATGCGTAGTTCAAGAACATCCCGATCCGTGCTTCCAGTGACGAAAGTCCGTATACATTCCTAAAAGAAAGGTTAATCTTTCTGTTATCTGCCAATATTATATGCTATACCAATTAAATCGAGGTGAGTAAAGCATAAACATGCATGCACATATAAAAGTCCATCGTCTATAACCTTGGTCAGTTGGCTGAGGCTGGGAATACAATTCATCAATAAATATTAATACCTCATAACCATTTATCAGCTCCCACAGAAAGCTGCGGCGAAGTGCCTCTCTTGTTCGGGAATCCACCCTACGCCATGCATTCAATACTTCCCCCTTGTCAGCATCAATATGACCTTTCTTCTTCGTGACAGAGCTTTCCAGTGCATGAATAATATTAACCTAGAAAAAGAAATGAGACTTAGGTTTAAGATGATGGTCAGCCATCACTGCCTTCCATTACTGATTACCACCAGCTACCCAAAATTTGCATATATCAGTAATTTAGGTATCACAATCAAATTGCCTTTTCAAAACAGTAGAAAAATTTCAAAGATAAAAGAAGCAAATCCAACCTCTTTATCCATGTCTATATTCCTAAATCTATCCCACTCTTCCACATTTGTCATGCTAAAAGCTGAAGGTGGAACCTCATCACCTGTAAAATGAACCCAAAATTATTAAGATGAAGTAATAAATAAAAATAATCAGCTGATGATTATACAATGCTGAAAGCTTGAAATCAGTTTCACCTGGAATTACAATTACAACTAACGTAAAGACTTGAAACAGTTGGCCCTCAAATATCTTAGAAAGTGTGCATGTACATAGAAAGAGAGACGAATCATAACTATAGTTCCCTCTCTGCTGCATTTAATGCAGTAATAAAACATGCACATAGAGAAGAAGCTAGAAGTGGTGCTGTCAATTAATAATTTACGAATGCAACAGAACTTGTGCAAAGAGCAACGAAAATCTTAAAGATGCAAAAACCTCAATGAATGCAATGAATAGCGCATGGTCAGATAATAATCCAGATTATTACCCCACGGTGGTGGAGCAAACAAGCCTCTAATTTCTTCAGCATTCAGTCGAGGAACAAGTTCCATTAAGAGACGATCATTTAACCACCTACGAGACCTTCGATTTGTCACCTGATAGAATTCACGAGTCTCCAATTAATTAATAAACTATCAAAGTTGAAGAGTATAATTCTTCTGATTGTCCTCATTTCAGATAAATAAGATGGAATTCATCATGTCAATCAGTTTACAAAATTTAATTAAAAACTTATTGAAAAAGTCAGAAATTAATATTTATTTAATAATAAGCTTATAAAGAACATCTTTCATGCCGCAAGTACTAAAATCATGAAAGTGATGAAGGTTGTAATAAATAAGAAGAGATAGTTGCTTCTACCACCAGTATAGTGAATGGCATACGATGACAGGCTTAAAAAATGTTATGCCGCCATGGCAGCAAGCTTAGCTGCCGTTGGGAAAATAAATAAATAATACTTCAACCCAAAACTGCTTTAACATATTATATGTATTCACACTAGCCGGACGGTATCCATGCTTATGAATACAGAAAAATATTAAGGCAACAAAGTTTCAATATACAAAAGCATATGAACAATCTTGAATCTCCTACCCCCTCCCTCCCTAGAATTTCATCTTAGATCACCCATAGAAAACAGTGAACTCAGTAATGTACTCATAAGATTCCCGTAAAAGAAAACACCAATATTTACCATTTGTCATGAGTCTTGTGACACAACGAGTACTAAATGGGATATACAAAAACAGTAATATAAAATCTTGCCTTTCCAGTCAAGCTCTCAAGGAACTCGATCTTTTTCTCAATAGACATCCCCTTGGATTCAGCACCATCTCCTGTTCATTGGCAAAAAATATATTTAATACTACTGTAAACAGCCTTGCCAGGAAGAGTAGGAGCGAATCCACTGATCTGGGCACGCAAAATTAAAACAGAACATTCGCAAAGCAAAAACAAAAACCAATCCCAACAAATGTAACCTAAAATTACTCTCATTCATATCGCAAGAGGTAAATCTGCAACTTTATTTCGCTATTATAATTCTCAGCTAGGAAAATGAAAACTTTATAAATCACAGAGCATTGAGATGGGGATGGAAGGATAAAAAAGAGTACCTTCTGGAGGCTCTAGGAAAGAACGAAGAAGGTCGTCTTCTCTGCGAAGACGCCGTGAAGTCGCCATGATTAACTGTAGCAGCAAGGGAGGGAGATCTTGGAATGCGAACAGGAATCCGAAGTAGGGTCTCTCTGACCTCCGACTGGTGTTTCTGTTCGGGGCAGCTAGGCCTCTTTTTCTGATCTGGATATGGCGCCTGAGGTGGAGAGAATGATTAGATTGAGAAGGAGAGCTCCGACTTTGAGGAAATGATGGAGAAGGGGCAAATCGAATCACCGAACAACAAATTGAAATACGACGCAAGGAAGTGCTGCTCAATTAGAGAAAGAATGTAGGAATATGCTTTCTTATATGTTTTCACGATACGGCGATACCTTCCATTGACCCGAGAGGGGAATAGGTCCTAAGGTCCATAACTACCCGCCGTTTTACTTTCTGAGCAAGCAATGGACTCGACCCAATCTTATTGGGCCTGATTTCATTTCTGGGCCTAGCTTTCAGGTCCACCGTCTACTTATTGCTCTCACTAATTAGATTGCTTAGTGATTTATTATTCAATATTCTTATTAAAAAATAAATAGTAAAATATTTCATTAAAATTTCTTTTCAGAAAAAAAAAAGTGAACGCCTTTGGATATTAATCATAATTATAGTAATCATGGCTGAAGGGTTTTTTTTATAGTTATAATTATATTGCAGGTCCTTTTTTCACACCAAATATGATTTAATAAAATAAATGAAGAATAAATTGCTCATAAATAAACACTTCTCTGAAAAGTTCAAGCCTTGGTGGCAGCACTACAGTAATGGCCAGCATATCATCTCCGGTTTGCAGACGTACTGCAACGTACCCGTTCAGTGACACCGCAGAGCACGCGCATCCCCATTTCTCTCTCTCGTCTCGATTCAAGTAGATGACCCAAGGCTTCTTTTTACATTCTTCAGGTCTACCAAGTAGCCGCCTTTGTTGTAATTCTCTTTTTCGCACTGTGCCTTGGGCGATGGCTATAGTTTTAGTTCTGTATTCTTTTGTAAAGCTTTTGGCTCAAGCAACCATCATTCATAGCTTTCAACTAGTGTAGATTTTATATTCTTATTCCGAGATGTTTCAACAGCTTCCGGTGATTTATTACTGTTTCAGTTTCTCTTTTTGATCGAATCAAAGGATTTCCCACTTCTTGATTCCCCAGCATTTCATTTTATTCAGAACTTGGAATTTTTGCAGGTCTTGCAGTCTAAGGGTTTTAACACTTGGACTTTTATATATTCCTTGCAGATCATACAAGTGATCAGAAAGTTCATCAATGGAAGGACAAAGTAACCAAGAGAAACCTCCAAAGATGACGCCGTTTACCTCTGGAGGAAGTAGTAACCGTGGGTGTCATTCAGCTGAGGATTTCGCTGCAGTTGGTGCGAAAAATGGGAATAGGAGTCAGGGAACTTGCCTCCCTGAACCATTTCATAATTATGTTGAGTATCTTACAGAAGCCTCGCCATATCTGGCACATACTACGGCAGAATATGCACTTGCGAGCTGTTATCCTCCTGTTGGCAGCTTACCAAATGATACTGGGGTCAATAGAACGGACACAAACTTCTTTTACAATGATCCAGGCTGTTTTAAAGCTATTGATTCTTCTTCTGGGATAGACTTCAGGAAGGTAAAGACTGAAGACATTGAACGTAAAATCACTTGTTGAAATAAATCTTTAGTGGAAATATTGCCTTAACAGATTACAGAAGTTGAATATTTTCTCTCTGCTTTTCTCCCCTTCCTTTGTACCATGTTTCACCAGGTGGGGTTTTGGAGACCAAGTAGTGAAGGCTACCAATCAAAGAAATTTGCAACTAACCAACCCAATCATCTTGCTGAGGTTAATTAGTTTCTAAGCTTCTTAATAATTGTTAACTGGCATATATCTAATTTTAACGTCGGTTATAGATCTTGCTCGTGGCACTTCGATATTCAAAATTCAACATTATATAATTTCTGACACTAGCACATTAATTCTATAACAGAGCGAGGCACTGTGGAAGGCAGAATCAACTGGAGATAAACATTCTGCTTCAAAACTTGATCCAAGGGTAACAGTAGGTGAGCTTGGTTTCCTTCCCAAATCACGAAGTAGTTCATCAAAACAGAAAGCCACTGCAGCTGACCGCGTAAGTAAAACACTAACCCCTGACGACAATGAAGTTTTTGACTTGAAGCACAAATCAAGGCCACTTGTTGATTTAATGATATAAACTACTTCGTAGCCAGCTAGCAACCGCATTTCATTTTCGAACATTTTTTTAAATCCATCTATTGTGCAATCCAGCAACGCAGGCAACGCATTGCTGATAACCTCAAAGCTTTGCACGACTTGCTACCAGCTCCAGCAGAGGTAAGCTCTTGTTTATTTCTGAATATGTACAGCGCTGCAGAGAAGGACTTTTTATGACTTGTCATTGGTGTGATGTTTCATGGATGCGTTAGCTAGCTAATCCAAAAGAATCAAACGTGTAATCCAGCGCTTGGATTAGTGTGATTATGATGCATATATATGCCAGACGATGAATTGACTGAAAACCATAGAATTTACTCAAGATCCACGAGTAAATTACAGTACGTTTGGTTAAAAGGGGCAAAGAAAAGACATGAAACGGATTCTAGGCCACTGGTAAATGTAGTTACTGTTTGGAATTATGTTGGTTTTGACAATGTGAGTGTAGGTTTCGGTCTAAATTTGGTTTTGATCAAAACCAACATAATTCCAAACATGCTCATAAACCATTGAGCACCTTTGAACACTTTACTGCCGCACCTCACCAGCAAGGGACAAACTACATATCTATTAGCTTTAGTGACTGGTGTGGAAGTGAACTGTTCATCTGGGAAGAATGTAGTGCTGAAAATGGATTAATCTGTCAAATAATTTACTTTTAGTGCATTCAGATTACTACTGGGGTTCTGACTTCTCCCTGTTAAACATTATACTATTTTTTTCACGTGCTGATATTTATCTTGTAGGGTTGCTCGGCATATATACTGGATGACGTCATTGACTATGTCAAATATCTGCAGCTTCAGATAAAGGTACCTCCAACTCCTAATGGTCTCATCAATTAATGTGCTTAAGGAAGTCTCACATGTAGCCAGTACAAATGTTGCATATACGCCAGTCTATTTGCAAGATTGCAGAAGGAATAGGGTAGAGATTAGAAAAATGTAAATACTGAAAGGACAATTTCTTGGAGTTTACAACAAAGGCTGCAATAGATTTACAGATAAAATTGCTGAACGACATCTAATAATAATAATAAACATGCAACTGAAGTCATATTTGATTCTCTTGCCTTCCTCTAAAAATCCAATTACCTGTCTTTTGTCGTCTTCTGGGGAGGGGCAACAGGGGTTGTGGCATTGAATGTTTGGGAAATGAGATCTTGTCGTTAAATTATTTGAACTTCCTTGCATCATAGCGACTGGGTAGCAATCAGAATCTAAGCATATTTTTTATTTCCTTATTGACTGATGTAGCAATGAGGCATCAGATAACTCCTTTTCCGCATGACATATAAATGAAACTTATGGTAAGGTATTCTGAAACTTCACCAAAGAGAATTTGTTGTCCCTTGATATATTTCCTTGCAGGAATTAAGTGGAAGAAGACTGCAAGGTGAATTACCTGCCATGCCACTGACATTCCGTGAGGTACTACATATCTATCCTTAATTGTAAAGGACAACACACACAGAATCACAATAAAAACTAGTATTTTCATTAATCAAACCTGAGTAATTAGTTTCTCTGCACTTTTTCATCTTTTTTCCTAAAGGGAGAACATTCTGTTTTATATATGACTTGCAGGGCTACGGCCACTATATCAACCAGCAGATGCTAAATGAACCACTTGAGGAGATGATGGGAAAACTAGTTGAGGAAAATCCAGCAGCAGCAGCTCAGCTGTTAGAGAGTAAGGGCCTTTTTCTGTTGCCCTTGTCTTTGGCTGAAGACTTGCGCCAGGCTATGCAGATGTTTGGTGGCATTTCACGAGTCTGAACAAACGAAAGGATTTCGTTTATGGGGAAATTTATCTTTCTTTTAATCGTTTTTTTAAACCATTAAACAACTCAAAACAAGGGCACTATCTTCTTAAGTATTTTGGTCAATTCTGCTGTTCGTGCAATGAGGGGCAAATTGGCATTATAGCTCTAGGTTCTAGCGAGATTATTGTTTGAAGCCCACTATGTTAAAAGGTTATATTGATGCCATGATCCTGTGCTGTCCAAGTCCACATGCTGGGTCGATTGGCCTTTAGAGCACTGACAACAAAAAAAACCTTTACATGCTAGGCCATAATACTCTTCTAGTTTTTAATATAAAATTTATTTTATAGTGTAATTGGTTTTATATTTAGAAACAGAAGAGTGGTATTTTATATCAACATAGGGATCATAAAAAATTAACTGTGTAATTCACATAGATATACTTGATAATAGAATAAACTAATATTTTTTTCAGGTTGGAAGGGTAAAAATTAGACTCTCCCTGCTAAATTTAGTTTCCATACAAATTATGAATCAAAATTTTTAATCGTTTATTTAAGACATGCAAATTTCAATATGAATTCGAATACAATAAATGACTTTTATCAAACTAATTTATTTTTGTCCGATCAACTTTTAAAACTCCAAGTTTCATTAAACTTGAATGAATGGCTAAGTTTACCTAGCCAGTCTGTTAATTTTGCAAGCTAACGGCTATCCCGTAGAGCTAGTTATAATTAAAATGAATGGATCATATAGCTCTTTTGTCAGACTTACAAACACATATCCCTTGGGTGAAGTTGCATTGAAGAGGAGATTAGAACCTTTACTCTACAAATACGTCAGATTATTATTATGCATGTTGATGCAGAAATCTTGTGCCTGGTGTATTCATATCGGCTAGGTTTAATGGCAAGAGTGATGGATAATACATGAGCGGACAAAGGAAGCAAAGACGAATATATGGGTTTTTTTTCAATTAATCTTGATTTAATCTCATACATGGCCAGCATATCATCTTCGTTTCGCGGACGTACTGCAACGTACTCTGTAGCCGTTCATTGACGCAGCAGATGACCCAAAGGCCTCTTTTCTCATTCTTCAAGTCTACCAAGTAACCGCCTTTAATTTCTTCTCCACAAGTCCTTGTTTCATCCTATATACGTAAATTGAGATAAAAACTCTCATCATATATTTTCCTTATCCAGTAGTTGAAAAGCTGGTTTTGAAGAATTCTATCTCCATTCTAAAGCTTTTGGCTCAAACAACTTTCATGTATAGCTTACAACTATATAAGGTAGCCTTTAGATTCTTATCCCCAGATAAATTTCAATCTCTATAGATAAAGAATGCCACAAGAGTGGCTTTGAATTGGTCATCTCCTCAGGATCTCAATTTTAACTTCTAGTCCTTCACAGGTCCTCCTGGAGGTCAATTAGTGCGTTGGACAAGAGGATATAGGCCTCATATGTCAACTTATCCAGAAAACTGCGGACGTACGATGGTTTTGATCAATAGAAAACAGCTCAAAAAAGATTAAACACACAAAACCCTGCAACAAAAAGGGGCATAGATAAGGAGGGAATAGTGATGACTCACGGACGCACTTTTGAATAAAAGACGGAAGTGAAATCAAGAGGCGAAACTTGGCAAGAGCAAGAAGTCAAGACAGTAACAAATGAGATGATAATTTAGTGCAGGCTGCGTCCGAGCCTGAGACAAGGCTTTTCAGAAATGACCAGAAGTTGAATAGTAAGTCTGATGAAATGGCTCATTAATGCCACACACCCACATTCATGTATTCCCAATTCTAGTGTTGCTGTGTGTCTTGTCAATGGAATTTAGTTTTAGTTTGGGACACTGGGATTGCATTTTCACTCCTACTTCTATAACATATTGCTCACGATTTATAATGCTATCAATGTGGCCTCACAAGGCGGCAGGATCATTACATGTATATAGAAGGAACTAGAAGTAACCGTATCACTACTTGTTCATCAGATTGGTACGTACTTAAACATTATTTATCAATTGTTAATCAAATCAGAGCTAATGATAGCTTTTAACTACTTGATAAGTGCATATTTTATAGATGAATAAGTATGGGTACAATCCTTAATATAAAAACTAGTTTGACACTCAATTTGATTTTAAATATATGACCCAAATATACTTTGTCTTTCATATTTATCTATTTTTTTCTTAAAATAGTCCTTGTAGTAATTGTACATGTTAAAAGTCTTATCAAATGATAGTTTTAACTAATACAAATAATAATACATATCTATTATAAATAACTAATTTAAATAATACTTTAGCATGCTAAACAAACCTCAAAAAATATTTTAAAATGCTAGATAAATCACAAAATATTAGTATGATGAATAGACCTAAAAAAAATTGAAAATACTGGATGAACTATACATATTTTAGAATGCTGCACATACTTCAAAAAAAATATTTCAGGTACGAGATGAATTATTGGATAAATATAAACCCCTATAAAATCATAAAAGATCCACACCATCATAATTGTTACATCTTGGGATGTACTAATGACTTCACACACCAAAGCTGGAGCATTGGGTACAAAGTGGACTTCGATTGTTTTGACGTAATCATTCTCATTTTAATTTTTCATTGGCCGAGATTACATACATCAAGTGAGAAAAAAAAAATGATATTAACCACTGAAAAATAAATAAATAAATAAATAAATAAACAAACTCTCTGGTCATCTTAAATGTGAGTGGATCATGTTCATATGGATCTAAATAAAACTTACGTGAATAAATTTTTTCCCTTATTTTTTATGCCACATTATAATATTAAATAACTGAGTTTTTTTTTTGCCAACAAATAACTGAGTTTATTATTAGTATTAAATGACAGAGACAAACTAAATTATTTTGGATTCTCACCATTTAGTGAATGCATTCTTCGGTTGTTTCCATATTCTATCATATCCCTAAAATATCGGCTCGCGTGCCACAATCATAATTGCTCCACATTCAACGCGCTTATAATTTCCCCTAATAATATGTACTCACATTATATAATATATATTTAATATAAGAACTAATTTGATATTTAATTAGATTCTAAATCTAAGATCTTTATCTATTTTATCTTTGATATTTAATTTTATTTTTAGAAATAGTTCTTGTAAACTGCAGTAGTTATACACGGTAAATGTTTCATCAAATAGTAAAAATATTTTAAGAAAAACAACACCTATTTATTATAAATAATTAACTTAATTATTTTTTTAATTTATTCAGATTAATTAATTAGTTCTTATATTAATTAACGAAAAGAATTATATATATATGAGACGAATAACAAATATGCTCTATATATATAAATTCTAAAAAATCATACAATTCCTAATTATGGGAAAAAAGAAGAAGAAACCATAAGTGAATTTAGTTGACTTCAAGGATGCTGTGTTGTGCATGATAAGACTCGTGCACATAGTTAAAATCTTTTTTAAAAAATAAAAAAGATCTACATGGAACCTCTTTTCTAAGTGATGATTGAAATGATATGATGAGCTTAAAGAAAAAAGCTAATTATAATCTTCTTGATGTGACTCTGCATGGATACCTCATTCCTTCTCAATACTAATTTAATATTTATAATCTTTTCCCTTCCCAGCAGTCCTTCTATCAACTCTTTGAAATTTATTAAGATGCCTCGTGCCCCTCCTTGAAAGAGGCCATCCATTAATTTTGGGGTGGCCAGGGACCTGTAAAAAGTAGTTATGATTTTTTTTTTTGTTGAAAAAAAGTCATGCACATATTTTTCTTGAAAGAAATTAGTTTAGTACGTACTTAATTATAAGTTCATAAGAATAATTATAAGAATAAAATTGTTATGAACTAACTAATTTTCGTTATAATCATTCAACGAGTTAAACGACATACATGAGTTGAAGATCTCCCCATATAGCCTTTTCATTCACTAAACTCAAATTGAAGACCACATTAAAAAAAAAAAAAAATCAGCGTAACATGTACTAGCAATAAATAAATATATGGTTTATTGATAATATTATAATATTGTATTATTTCTACAGATAAATATTTTGAACTAAATATTATATATATTATTGAGGTGTTGAGAGACGATGGGTTTTTTTTTTTTTTATGTTTTAATTGAGATGCCTGATAATAAAATAGTTTTTAAAAAGTGACTGCGAATATAATCTTAAGTGTAAGTCTTGACGTTAGAGAATTCGAAGTATTATTGGAGATGCAAGACTGGAAAGTTAATTAATAATTAGGGGATACCTAATCTTTGGTTAAACATAAATTCGCGATGGATGAGCATTAATAGTCAATAACAAATATAAGTATCCATTAACTCTGTCTACCAATGGAATGGTGGGAAGTTATGCTTGCTTGATCTGTTAGATAAGATCAATAAAATATTATCATATGGAGTTCAGAAGATATTCTGTGGGACAAAACGAACAGGTGATTAGAAGTTAATGAATGCAATAAGAAGGCGTAATTAATATTATCCAAATGAATCATTTTAAGGTATTCGGGGCAATTTATCAATGATGAAGTGAAACATGGTATCTACTTTGGTCCACAAGAGTCAAAGCATTGGGGCATGCCGCAAGCACAAATCCATGATACTTGTATTGAATATTTATTGGCAAATTGAGGATGGAATTTGTGCTATTCTCTATTCTTTGTGTGGTATACCCTTTAATGAATGAATCCAATGAACACACGCCGCATACCAAACTGTGCCTTCTATCTCTTATCACATAATTAACGTCGCTGTGACTTGTTAAATTCCACCGCATTATCTAAAGGCATCGAATTTTTCTCTTCTTTCAAATCATTTCAATTATAATATATTTTTCCGTTCCAGTTCAATCACCAATCGCTGTGATTTGCGCTACTATAACATAATACCAATAAGCAAACTCAACCAAAAGCAGCTAAACTTACAGAGAAGTTAGTGTCAATGGTGACTTGGTTTCACTCTCAAAAATCACTTTTACATTTTATCAAACAAAATTTTTCTTACATCTTCTACGGTGCAAAATCACTTCTCACAAGTGATCCAAACAGACGTACACAAATTAACGGCCATGTATATATGCTGTGTCTATGGAATATAATTTCAAGTTCAAGTCGATGGCTTGCGCAATCAAAGAAGAACTATCTGGAACGTCTGGAAGCAAAGTCATCAGTGCATAATAATATGGAATTTGGGACCAACTTAGGTAAGAGAAATAAAGGCTGTTTTGACAAATTAGAACAGGTGTTACAAGAATCTCAACTGCAAGAGTCGTATTACCACACTGTCAACCTCTCCATATCTATCCATCTTCATGCACGGAACCATTCTCCATCGATGTCCATTTCACAACTTACTCACTCACTGATCAGTACTAGTCCTTACAGTTCATCCCCAGAACAAATGCCTTTGCTTACATCATCCTTCTTTATTTCCCTTTATTTGTCACATTCTCCTCCGCATTATGCAACATTAAGACCACTAATTATTTGGCCACTCACTTTATGAAAAACACACCAACACCCACAAATTATATACATATGATTGAAGTGTATGTTGTATGTATTTAACAAAATATTAAATAAATAATAGCACTTCTTCTCCTCTCTTGACTCGCACGTCTAATCTTTCTAATGGGTTTGAGAATTTTGAAATCTCAGTGTGGATTCAAATATTTTATATTTGGACAAAGTAAGAGTTTCACATATTTAAGCCTATCCTGTGAGATGGAACTCGTGGGAAAGTGGTTTTAATTGGTAGATATTATTAGATAGCTAGCAAGAAAAGGATATACAAGACAAAAACCGAAACGTACAAACAAAATGGAATAATTAGAAAGACCTTGTCAGAGGCATATTCTAAAGCAATTTGCTGTTCTTGCCACAAAAATGAGCCCACTATGAAAAGAACCTCCCTGTGCCCACTGAGTTTAATTACCTAGACTACACCACGGCCTTGCACTTCCTCTTTCTTTCATCTATGGCTCAGACCATTCATATGGTATAAAGCTAAAAAAAAATTACGTTGGGATAAGGAGATATTGGGAAGAATATTTAGCAATTCCACTTCTCCTAGTTGACTATTTAATAATTCTTAGCAAGTCCACTAACAGAGGCAGTGACACTTCTGACCTCTTTCTATCAAGCCTATAAATACCACGCCCATGCTCTTACTCGATCACAAATCAACCTTGATTAGTTCGCGTGTCAGCTCTAAAGAAACAATGGGACTTCTTCCTCATTGAGTCTTTTTTTCAAGGGTAGAATCCTCATTGAGTCTGTCTTCTCTTAATTTGTTAGCGGTTAATTATCTATTCTTCTCTATTTAGAGTTCTTCATTATTCACCATGACCATCTCTACGGTAATCTGCAGACTAACACAACCCTTGCTAAATATTTCTTCTGTAAGCTCAAAAATAAACGTTACCACTCTTCCGCGGCAGAAGGAGAAGGTTGTGTTGGTGATGGGGGCCACCGGCGCCGGAAAGTCCAGGCTCTCCATCGACCTCGCCAGACGTTTTCCTGCGGAGATCATCAACTCTGATAAAATGCAAGTGTACGAAGGACTCGACATAGTGACAAACAAGATCACTGAGAAAGAGCAACGTGGTGTTCCTCACCATTTACTAGGAACGCAGAATCCAAACTCGGAATTCACGGCTACCAATTTCTGTGAGAAGGCCTCACTAACCATTGAGACAATTAGGAGTCGCGGAAAGCTCCCGATCATCGTCGGAGGCTCTATTTCGTTCCTGGAGGCTTTAATCGACGACGACGACGACTATAAATTCCGATCAAGGTACGATTTCTGTTGCCTCTGGGTGGACGTGGGCATGCCCGTTCTTCATTCGTACGTGGCAGAACGGGTGGATGAGATGTTCAAGAAAGGAATGGTGAACGAATTGAGGGCTTTTTTCAATCCAAAAGGGGACTATTCACGAGGAATCAGGAAGGCAATCGGAGTTCCCGAATTTGATGAATATTTTCGGAGGGAAACACAGGCGGATGAGGAAACGAGGCAGAGGTTGTTGGAAGAAGCGCTGAGGGAGATGAAGGACAACACGCAGAAATTGGCGGGAAAACAGCTGGGGAAGATCCAGAGCTTGAGGAACATGAAGAGATGGAAAATACAGCGCGTGGACGCCACATCGGCGTTCCGAAAGCGCGGGGAAGAAGAAGAGGCGAATGAGGAGTGGAGGAAGATGGTGGCGGAGCCAAGCGCGATGATCGTCGCTCAGTTCCTTCTCAACTTGAAAACCACGACGAAGAGTGGCGTGGCAGGAGGGCTGAGATTGCCATCGCTGGAGAGCGCCATTGCTTCGTCTTCTCATCTTCAGCCGCTGGGGGCACACTCGTGTCCTGTGTGATGACTGACGAATTTTGACCCCCTTTTAATCTTTGCATGAATAAAATTAAGGGTTAATATAAATATGAGTCTTTTTTAACTTTATTTTCATTTTGATTTTGGTTCATTAAGTTTCAAATCAAAAATTTTAGTTTCTTAAGTTTCTTTTTATTTATAACATTAGGTCCTATAATCTAATAAAAATTTTGACTATTTTGCCTCTTGAAAGGTTAAAACCTGTAATTTGAAATTAAAGAGCTAAAATCAAAATGAGAATAAACTTAAGGATCTAAAATTTGTATTAAACCTAAAATTAAAATCATTGTGAGAAGCTTGACCTTTTTTTGCCCCGTACAAAATTAAAATAAATTTTACTATTCATAATAAACCCTGTGATTAATTATAAACATGAATATAATGATGTTGACTGATTAAACCCAGATAGATATATGGATTGATATGGTAATGATGACACAAATAAAGTGGATGCAAAGACGCCAACTTGTGACGGATAACTATAAAGCCAGTATTTTTTAAAAAAAATTGAGGATTTGGAAGAAGGGTAGTTTCACTTGACCCGTTAACCGATGTAACTTGGATGTGGCGAAGTGTTTTTTAATAAAAGAATCAATTTTATAAAATGAAGAAAACCATTTATACAACTGAAGTTGGAGTGGCATAAATCTTGAAAACGGAGTTAACACAACATCAATTTTATCAAAAAGGGAATGGCTAGAAAAAGCTTGAAGTAGTAAATCAATATCATTTTATAAAGTGCCACCGAAATTTGAATCAACAAAAAATCACAAAGCAAATTCTTTTTTACATGTGATGATATTAATGTGGTTTAAGGATGAAAAAATTGCTGCGACTTGGATAGCTTAATGCAGCATCAATTTTAAACAAGAAAAGCAAAACAAATGAGAATATGAAGACGGAAGCTTTACTCATTTAAGAGTTTGTATTTCTTCAAAAACAAAGAAAAATCATGGCAAAACAAGACATGTGTCTTCGAGTCTTGACCTTTCTCATATAAACTGTTCAATCCATATAAGAATGCTGAGTATATGGCGAGCAGGTAGAAAAGAGGATGAAATAAGAACTTTAGACTTGCTTGAAAGGTTTTTCCAATTACATATTTCCATTAGGTATTGAAAATAGTCCGAAAATCTTGAATTACTTGCTCAGATTGTCTAACAAAGTTAGTTTCTCAGAATCTTGTATGTGTGTGTATATAGATCCAAAAATTTGAAAATAAAGAAAAGAAAGGATGTACGTGGTGAGAGAAGGGAGAAGCAAGCATGGACGGTGGCGGTTTCTGGGAAGATGATTAGTAAAAAGTGAAGACTGAAGAATACGAATAAGGGAAGAGGAGAGCAGGAGAGCGTAACTTCCAATCATGTGGCCGTACAACAAGGGTGGGGCATGAGGCGAGAGTGGACTCCAAGAGCGCACAGATAGCAGATGAAAAATTATGCGGCGCTCCGTACACGAACCGGTTTGCTTCTCAATGGATGTTCTGTTTGGGACCACATTCCATCCTCAATTACCTCTCCTCCTCTTTTTTTTTTTTAACAGCAGCAACTTGTTCTGCTGCTTTTTAAAATCCTTTTTTAAACACCTTAACAAAGTACTTTTTTTTTTTTTAATATAAGATCCCGTTTGATTTTTATGTTTATCCTAAATATAAGATTTCAATCTATTTTGTCTTTTATATTTACCCAACTTTTTTTAAGATAGTCCTTCCAATAATTATAATTTTAGCCAACACAAGAATATTTTAGGAAAGACAACATTTATTTATTACAAATAACTAACTTAACTTATTTCCTTAATTTTTTTAAATTAGTCAACTGATTCTTATAATTAGGACCGGAGGTAGTATTGTTTGATTTTTAAAAATCGCATAATAGAATGCACATTATATTTAAATTTTTCTTTAATCGTGTTTTCATTCTATTTATTTTTTCTATCTATTTTAAGCCTTCCCCGCATGTGAGGTGACTCTCGCAGTCACACAATTTTCCCTTTTAAGATGGTGTGTAAACTCAAAGGCTTACAGCAAGCGTTTTCTCTCTTTTTTCCCCCAAAAATAAATATTAGATCCCAACCATCTTTCTATTTTCTCTTCTTCTTTTTTTTTCAAATTTTACAATCACTTTTTCATGTTTTCAAAATAAATGTGTATTTTGCTCGGAAAATCATAACAAATTTTATATGGCTCCAATAAAGTTTTCGAGAAAGAGTGTATTTTTTTTGTTCAAGAAACATAGTGTGATTTACTCTTTATAGTTATAAAAGTTGGGGTTTCTAAAAATATAAAAGCTTGGTTTGAAAACTGAAGAAAGATGGATGGACATAAGAGATATATACACACACATAAAGAGGGGAAAAAGAAAGGTGGATAGAAAAGGGGAGGTAAAGAAAGATAAATGAATAATTTGTCGTATTGCTGTAGGTATCGTATTTTATCTTTGACCCACGGTGAGATATGATTTCTTTTTCAAGTGAAAAATGGTCCAAGAAGTATATAATCTTTCTTTTCGAAGCATCGCATAAAAAGGCCTTTTACCCCCCTCCTCTTGTCTTGTTCCTCCACGATAATATCATTTATTAATTTCTCTCCTTTTTTATTTGGATTCCCACACGCCCCTCCATTACTGCAAGTTGAGTTTCCTCAGCTTTTGGTCAGAGCAGTAGTCCCACTGCCTCCCAGCACAATCTTCAATCGCACCGCCTCACATCCTCCATTGACTTCTAATTTGTTTGCATGTGGTTATTTAGTGTTCATGAACACGTTTTACAAGATAAAATTTTTTTCGCATCTTTTTATATTTCATAGATCAAGGTTAAAAAATTGTTTATAAATCATTTCAAAAAACTCTACATTCATTCTTAACGCCCACTGAAACTAGGCTTCATTTAACTAATTACTTGGATTAGTTTTTTGAGAAAATTTTACAGTGAGAGTGCCATTGATCATCCCAAACTCACATAACCATGTCCTGTCCGGATTCTAAAGGATGGTTATGATATATCATATATAGATATATTAGCGGATTCACTGATGCTCGATGAATGTAGCACCATTGACACGCACAAACACGCACGGTTAATTAGCAAGGGACAGTAAAAATCAAAGAGTGAAAGGAAATTACCCAGCTGCAATGGAGCAAAGTGAGGACTTTAGGTTAAAAGACATGAGAATACTGGAATCTCCGACGTTGTATAGCGGAAAGTCTCATCCTTTAATGTGTGATTGGTACGAGGGAGGGGATGGGAGGGGAGGGATTTTAATCATTTTTTCTTGTTTGGCAACACATAAATTTTAGGAAATGAGGGAAAATTTTTTCCCTCTCCTCCCCTCCTCAACCTCCCCTTCAAAATTAGGAGAATTTGGAGGGAAAGGATAATATTTTATCATGTTGTGATCATTATGCCCATATTTTGTTATGTTATAACCATTATGTTCATATTTTGTCATGTTATAACCATTATGCTCATATCTTAAATAAAATAAGAGCAAAATTATCTATATTAAAATATTTTTCCCTCTCCTCTCCTTTTTTTTTATAAATCCAAATAAGATAATATTAAAATTCTACTACTTTCTTCTTCTTCCCTTCCCTCCATTAAAATCCCTCCCCTTCTCTTTCTCTCGTTGAGCCAATCATAACCTTAGGCACATCACTGATCACTCCGGCAATTGGCCCTAACTCGGTGACCCAAGCTTTACCAAAACACGAATCTTTCAGTGAGTTGTGTGCTTGTGTTTTAACTTTGATTCGTTGCTCTTAGAGTTTCTCAAGGGTCGTCTTGTTTTGTTTTTGTTTTTAATGGTAACTCACTGGAGATTTTGACATTCTTACAACACTTCTGTAATTGATCACGTGGTATATATTGTCGCTAAAAGCACCTCGCTTTCCCAACACACTTGTAACTCACTTTATTCCCAATTTTAGATGGCACAGTGAAAATGGAGAGTACGCACCACCCAAATATGAGAGACACCAAAAGGCGAAAAAGACTAAAGACGACAGGTGACCGTAGCTTCTTTCTCCAGCGCACCTCAAAAGGAACGCTAACACATTAAATTATTTACCGGTATGTCGGATAGCGCAAAGTTATGAATCAGATGGGGCCACCGCACGAGTAAGTGACCTCGCAAGATTCTCCAATGGTGAGCGTGTACTGATGCGATGGCCTCATTAGAAATGAGGGCAAGCGAAAGTGAAGCAGAAGTTCACACACACATTGGCTATCCACATCCTGAGCCCACCGGCAGCAACTTTCTTCTTGAGGGCTAAGCTGGCGGTGACGGTGCCGGGGCCGGTGATGGCTGTGTTGTTCGTCGTCGGACTCTGCAGGTAAACCTGGGGGCCTTCTCACGATTGGCAGTGATGAGCAAGCATAGTTTACTAGCGAAAACTGGGTTGCACAGAGCGGGCGAGGTCCCGGCGGTGACATCATAATGTCGCACTCCCTCATCGGCACTAATGCCAGAAATGTCAGAGTCATTGTTATTAACCAAAAAACCTTCGCTTCTTCCATGTTCGATCTCTCTTTCTCTCTTCTGCTGACGTTTCAGAGACTGAAAAAAAGCTTTCAATGTTGCTGTGACCCTGTAATCCTAGTTTAAATACTTGCATACCCGTATGCTTCTTGCCGCCATTTGATTGTTTATTCGGTGATTCAAGAGCATAGTGGGGTTGCCAAGAGAATGGTTACGGCCGACTCGTTTATACTTTTTCATCCATTGTGTGTGACGACTTTGTAGGTGACTTACAAAGTTATCTTAATCACTATCGCACCAACAACCTGGTTCCTGAACTAAGTTTTAAAGAATTAACTCAAACATGTTAACAGGCAGATCCTGTGAGGCTGTGAGGAAGGCATAATTTAGTACTAGTAAATTGTTTTCCATTAATTCAAGGAACGCGTATGACCATCCATCGAATTTTATTTCGTTGCTCTTTTGTTCAGATTATAGTTCCGACGGTCCATGAACAGAGTAAACGATGAATCCAGTTCTGCTCTGAGACAGAGGCGTG